CTATGGCCATGGAGGGGGGAGATTGGCTGGAGCCAGAGGTCCTGAGTCATGGTGCAACCTGCGCTACCTGTATTCTGCAGGGGGCCCAGCACACTTGAAATATACTGCCCAGCTACTCTGCTCTGTAGAAGACTCGCGAGCCGTGCGGAGCGTTGCCATGGCAATGCTCTGACGATCACGTCGCTCGCGAGACTTCAACAGAGCAGAGTAGCTGGGCAGTATATTTCAAGTGTGCTGGGCCCCCTGCAGAATACAGGTAGTGGGGGGCCCTCAGTGCACACACACACACACATATATATATATATATGTGCACATAGCTAATGTGGGGCCCGGGACGACCTGAGCAGTCCGGGCCCCCCAGGACCGCCAGGCCCATGACAACAGTTATGGTTGTCATGTCCTGATGGCGGCTCTGGCCTGGAGTGTCCCTTTAAGAAGCCTAGAACTCTGTTCCAAGCTGCCTAATGTCAGTTCGGTACACAAAAAATTACTCTCATCCCTCCCACTCTGTGAGCTCTCCCTCCATTAAAGAACTGGGAGAAATCCTCCCTCCCACACCTCCACCCTCTGCCACCTCTTGCCGGCCTGAAATGTGCGCATCAAGCCTGTGATTGGACCTGGTGTGTCTCCTGTGACATCACAAAGAGGCATGGAAAGTGGTGGCAGGATCTTCGCCCAACGCTGGATTCCAGGGGAGAAATAACTTTATTTTAAACTTGTTTTTCTTTATGGGTGGACAGAACCAGAAGTATATTTTATCTTTCATAAACAGACATAGGAAAAAAACAGGTTGGAGTAATATAACTTTAAAAGAAAGAGGAAGATTACATGATAAAAACATAAAAGATATAAACCAGTATTCTTAACACTATATAGCCATAGTTCTATTTGCTTCCCAAAAATAAAAATATTGTATTCATTGCTTTCCTATGGGGCTTCTGCATCAAGTAACTGTGCTATGGAAATGCCTCTAGTGGCGGGCCAGTATGACAGCAGCTTAAGGTGGATTTAACTCTGTAATGTAAACATTGCGGTTCTGCACGCAGACCGCTGGACTAAGATGAAGTGGTTTGGGTGACGGCAGTGTCCCTTTAACACAAGATACTGGTGCTTTTCAATGCTTTTAAAAGCAATGGTGTAATTTGATATAAGAAGAGATGGCCCTTCTTTAACAGATTATGATTATGCAATCAGATCATTTGCTAACATTGTTCTAATTTGTGAATATATACATATAACTGCGAAACTGAGTGACTCAATATTTTATTAATAAATTGCCACTAGTGTGAAACACAAACAAAAACCCAGTAATCATTTGTTAAAGTCTTTTTTTTTACTTTATCATTACATTATTCCCAATTCTGCATATATTACATGCATCTTATCAGTTTTAATAATAATAAAAAAAAAGCACGACAACAGCTTTCTGTAAAAATATAGCCATTTGCATTACATGTAGCATTGCGGTTATATTTACAGAGGAAGGCTTTTTCCAGTCAATTCAAACTGAATTTATAATCAATATATAATCAATATCATCAAAATAGCCAAATTGGAAAAATTCTCTAGGTGTGCTTTAACCCCTTAAGGACACATGACATGTCTGACATGTCATGATTCCCTTTTATTCCAGAAGTTTGGTCCTTAAGGGGTTAATATGAAATTCACTTTAAATTTTCACTTTAGTTAATAACCGGATCTGTCTTTCCAAAATCCTTTACCAATCAGGGCAACACCTTTCGAATACCTTGACTGGGCTCAAACCAGTCCAGCAGGTTCCTCTGGAAATATAGTCAGCCTAGAATGTCGCTAAATAAAAGGCATCACTAACCAAATAAAATAATCACGCAACAATTTTCTGAGGATCTCTGCAATATCGCATTCTTCCTGAGCTTATATTTAAATAATCCGAAAATAACAAAGCACTTATAAATCACAGATGACGTTTTAGCAGAGAATAATGAGACACCTGAAACACAATTAAAAAAAATCAAGGTTTCTTGTCAGAGACATGAAGGCAATCTGGAGATTGTTCTGCGTGCGTGTTTCCTCTGGTTACAGCTGTTGTGTTGTTACCTGACAGTTTCCAGTTTCGAGAAGACCATAATGTATTCCTAATAGAGATACTATGAAATAAATGACATTACAATCATAGTACCCGGAGGGCCTGGTATTCAGAGATACAGTCTTTACTCACATTAGTAAGTGACCCTGAAGGAGCAGAAGAGGATATCCCTTTCATTGGGTTAAACCGAAACCAGCAATCGTTAGACTAGGCCATTCCAAAAATGGGTTATTATGGAGCTGCAGCTGTCATGTAATATAGTATATATTTTGTAAGTAAACCCCATAAAAATATATATTTTTTTTTACATAGTTACATAGCTGAAAAGGAGACTTGAGTCCATCAAGTTCAGCCTTCCTAACATATGTTTTTGCTGTTGATCCAAAAGAAGGCAAAAAACCCAGTCTGAAGCGCTTCCAATTTTGCAACAAACTAGGAAAAAATTCTATCTTGACCCCAAAATAGCAGTCAGATGTCTCCTTGGATCAAGCAGCTATTACACCACTAATTAGAAATTATATCCCTGTATGTTGTGTTTTGGGAAGTATTTATCATATTGCTGTTTAAACATCTGTATAGACTCTGATAAAACCACCTCTTCAGACAGAGAATTCCATATCCGTATAGTTCTTACTGTAAAAAAACATATTTTTTGCCTTAGATTAACTCTCCTTTCTTCGAGCCTAAATGAGTAACATTGTGTCCTATGTATAGCCCTATTTATGAATAGATTTCCAGATAAAGGTTTGTACTGACCCCGAATATATTTATATAATGTTATCATATCCCCTCTGAGGCGCCGTTTTTCAAACTAAAAAAAATTTAAATTTCTTAACCTTTCTTCGTAACAAAATGCTCCATTCCTTTTATCAATTTTGTAGCTCGTCTCTGCACGTTTTCTAGTGCCATGATATCCTTCTTTAGAACAGGTGCCCAAAATTGCACAGCATATTCAAGGTGTGGTCTTTCCAGCGATTTATAAAGAGGCAAAATTATATTTTCATCACGAGAATTTATGCCCCTATTTATACATGACAAAATCTTACTGGCCTTCGCAACTGCAGATTGACATTGCATATTGCTGCCTAATTTGTTGTCTATAACAATTCCCAAATCCTTCTCATGTGTGGTTACCCCTTAATCACTACTATTTAGGGTGTAAATTGCTTGTGCATTCTTGATCCCGAAATGCATAACTTTGCATTTCTCTACATTAAATTTCATCTGCAATTTTAGTGCCCAGTCTCCCAATCTATCTAAATCCCTGAATATTATCCCTTAATAGCCCTTCAAATATTTTCCCAGTCACAGAAGTTAGGCTCACAGGCCTATAATTTTCAGGCAAGGATTTTGAACCCTTTTTAAATATAGGAACGACATCTGCCCTTCTTCAATCCTTCGGTACAATACCTGAAACAAAAGAATCTTGAAAGATTAAATACAGAGGTTCACTTATTTCCCCACTTAGCTCCTTAAGTACTCGTGGGTGAATACAGTCAAGCCCCAGAGCTTTATTTACATAAATTTTCTTTAACTGCTGTAGCACCTTTTCTCGAGTCATTCAATCACAAGTTATCTGCAAGTTTTTTTGCAGCAATCATTTGCATATCTCTTGCCATAGGATCCTCATTAATATATACTGAAGAAAAATAATTATTGAAAATTTCAGTTTCCAGTGTAGTTCATTTTTTTTTTATATATATATAGAATTGATGTACTTGATTACATTTTGGGGGTTGGTTTTGGATTCTTTGGCTTTCAATTTTTCATTTTCTAGTTTACCCACTTTAATTGCCTTTTTGCAAGCATTATTGGCTTCCTTATATCTTATATAGGATGCCTCTGATTTGTGCGATTTAAATGCCCTTTTTCCTTTTTAAAATCTCTTGTTTTACTTCTCTACTAAGTCACATTGTTTTCAATTTGTTTCTTTTATATTTATTAACCAATTGACTTGAAGGGATCCTATAGTGCCAGGACAACAAACCCGTTTTCCTGGCACTGTAGGCCCTTGAGGTGCTTCCCTCTCTCGTGCCCCCCTCCCGCAGGGATGAAGGAGCTAAAATCCCTTCAGTCATTTACCTGAATCCAGCGCCGATGTCCCTCAGTGCTGGGTCAGGCTCCGGCGAGTCAGGCTCCGCCCACGCTCCAATGGCCGCGCGCGCATTAGACCTCCCAATAGGAAAGAATTATTCAATGCTATACTATGGGGAAAATCTGACACCGGAGGTCCGTGAGGATGTCCAGCGTCAGATAACGGACCAAAAGTGTGTTTCGATTCCGGAAGCCCTCTAGCAGCTGTCTGTTAGACAACCACAGAAGGCAGACTTAGAGCTGCAATGTAAACATTGCAGCACTAAGGGCAAAAAGGTCACAGCACCCAGACCACTTCAATTAGCTGAAGTGGTCTGGGTGCCTACAGTGTCCCTTTAAAGGGAAACTATAAGCTAGGAATATAAAATTGCCCCCTCTGCAGCGCAGAAACCCTTAATTCACTTACCTGAGGGACATCGGCGCTGGGTGAGGCTCCGTCTCCGCTCCTTCACATGCTCAGCAAGCGCTATATTTGCATTGGGACAACCCCACAGGAAAGCATCGAATCAATGGGGTTTTAGCAGACGCTGGATGTCCTCATGCATAGCGTGAGGATGTCCAGCGTCAGGTGACCAAAAGTCGCCTAACGACCCTTAAGAGCGTCTAGTGGCTGTCTGGTACTGGTAGACAGCCACTAGAAGTGGAGTTAACCCTGTAATGTAATTATTGCATTTATTATTATTATATTTCAAATTCACTTTGAATTCTAACTTCAGTGAATAACCATGTCTAATTCTAGTTATAATGTATTTCTGTTGCATTGGCTACTTGCAGCCAGTAGAGGGCGCCCCTGCTGAGCTGGTGGCTGTGTTGTAAGTTTCTGGTCAGTCTCTGCCCTGTCTGTGGATCACAGTTTCCTGTCTCTGGGGCAGATCTGCTGACATCATAGTTCTTGCCCCCTCCCCACTCTGTTCCTGCTCTGAGCTGCTCACATTGGCTCCAACTCTCTGCGCAGTAAAGGGGGTCCCAGGACCCATCACTGCCCCTCCCCCCCGCTGGGAACTTTACAGACCTTGGGATACTTTGTTTGCAGTTACTGTAGCTGTAGTGGAATTCACAGATTTCCTGTCCCAGGACTGAGCTGTCACCTACTGCTGCACCCCTGATCTGTCTGCAGGATTACTGGGGTACCCTGATCTGTCTGCAGGATTACTGGGGTACCCTGATCTGTCTGCAGGATTACTGGGGTACCCTGATCTGTCTGCAGGATTACTGGGGTACCCTGATCTGAGTGCAGGATTACTGGGGTACCCTGATCTGAGTGCAGGATTACTGGGGTACCCTGATCTGTCTGCAGGATTACTGGGGTACCCTGATCTGAGTGCAGGATTACTGGGGTACCCTGATCTGAGTGCAGGATTACTGGGGTACCTTGATCTGCCTGCATGGTCACCCCACTCTGTGCAGTATTTCTGAGGACCCCTGATCTGTGCAGGAATAATTGGATCGTTGTGAATGTGTACCCCATTTTGTGCAGGATTAGTGGGGGATCCTTATGTAACTGCATGAGCAACCCACTGTGGTCAGGAATTCGAGGGACCCTGATTTGTCTGCATGAGGACCCCACTGTGTGCAGGATTACTGGGACACTCCGATTTGTCTGCATGAGGACCCCACTGTGTGCAGGATTACTGGGACACCCCGATTTGTCTGCATGAGGACCCCACTGTGTGCAGGATTACTGGGACACCCCGATTTGTCTGCATGAGGACCCCACTCTGTGCAGGATTACTGGGACACTCTGATTTGTCTGCATGAGGACCCCACTGTGTGCAGGATTACTGAGGGACCTCCATCTCTCTGCATGGTCACACAACTGTGTGCAGTTTACTGGGACACCCTGATCTCTGGTGATCACCCCAACTTTGTGAAGGATTGCTGGGGCCCCTGATATTCCCTCTGTGTATTGGATTATTGGGGTACACTGTGTGCAGGATTACTGGGGTACACAGATCCCTGACTGTGTGAAGATGATTACTGGGGGATCCTGATCCCTCCACTTGGTGCTGCATTATTGGGGCCCAGATCCCACACTTTGTGGAGGATTATTGGGGGCCCTGATCTCCAAGCAGGAAGTCAGGGTGAGTAGCTTGCCTTCTTCCCGATTTCCAGTTAACAGCCCCCCTTCCGACCCCTTTTATTAGAGTGATCATTACACTTTGTGTCTCATGGGTAATGCAGTAAAAGAGTCCAATCATTAGACTGATAATTGCAGAATCAGGCTACAGGTCGGCAAAGCTTCATGGGAGTTGTAGTCCTGTAACAGCTGATCTCCCCTTATAACACTGCCAGCCTCCCTGTTATTTACAGAAAACACCCCTTCAGTGCAACAGGGTAGATACACCAGCTGGGCATCAGGTTCATATACTCTACTATGGTAGGAATTCTATCAGCCTACCAGGCTGGCACGGAAGGGGTTAACAGCTATATATGAGAGGCCTGTCCTGTTCTGAATAGAGAGGGATTACAGCTGGCAAAGGACACTATTTACTAAGATTGTATCCCAATTCTCTCATCACATCCATTACTATCATTGGTTAACCCCTCCAGTAAATGGTGAGCCTGGACTGACATCATCTCTTCCTGCAGACAGACTAAGGCATGGAAAGTGCTACCCTGCAGTCTGTAGAATTCATATTCTGCTGGATCTCTTCTACAGCATATGAATACTTAAAGGGGAGAACTTTTCATGTACTGCTTTTAAAGCTGGCAGTGATTTGTGTCCAGGAAAACATGGCAATTTGGTAAAGTATTTACAACCCTGGTCGGTTAATGTAACATGTATCTTCCAGGGTTGTTTACTAATGGAGTATTTCTGTTTTAAGGCGAAAGTTTTCAAATTGAAAGCTGACAGAGAATGTTCCACTTCTGCTATTTAGAAATGGAAAATGTAGGCAAAACAGCTGATCTGAAATCAGTTACAATCATAAAACGGCTATTTTAACCTCAAATCTGCAATTCTGTTTTCAATTTTCCACAGTTTGGCGTTTAGCGACTTGGAAATGGAAATTGAGAATTCATGCTAAAATTGATAAAGTAGAAAATGTTCCAGAATTAACTATGTTGGTAATTTTATAAATTCTGATTTAAAGAAGAACTGTAACCTCACGGGATTTTCAATATTCTGTTTTCCTATCTCTTATATTTGAAAATATGTTAATTTTGACATTTGGTTAATTAAATTAAATGTGGAAATGTACTAAAATATCCCTGAGCTGGGCACCTTAATCTTTACTATGGTCAATCATCATAAATGTTACACTTTAATTCCATTGCATTTAGTTGCTGTTAGAGGAGAAACCAAGCTATCCTATTTCTCTTTGTCATTTGCATTGTATGCCATGGCTGTGCCAGGTACTGACATGGATTGTGATGTCACTTGCTAAATTTTTAATATACATTTTTAGAAAAAAACGAAAGCATCACTTAAAAAAAAAAAAAGTATTAACAAGTTATAGATGATTGTGGGTACATTTTTCATCGGTGTGACTGTCAAAGAGACACTGAGCATCATAAATGTTACAGTCCATCGTAGTGGTTCTAGTAGGCTACACGCTGGGTTGCTAATGCAGAAATTAGAGTTTGGTTTTGAAAATGTAAGTTTCGGGCAAGTTTGGAGAGCATTGATTGGCTGAGAGCAACCCAGCTGACACATTTAGCCAATGAATACTGCTAAAATTAAGTTGAAATTACTCTTACATATTAGACAAAATAAATTCAGCAGTAGCAATATGGCGAGCGAGGGAGGCTGTAGGTGCTTAGGGTACTCTTGGTGTCAGACAGTTTGTAAATGGTTTGACACGGGATTATGGGACGGTGCAAGGGGCTTACTTCCACCATAACCAATCTATTGTGGGCTGTTAGAGAGTCCCTTTAAATTTATAACAAATCACTGTCTAGTGAAGGAACCTCCATTTTTTTTTTAGTATTATAATTTAATATGTTTTGTTGCTTTGGTTTATTAAAATGTTTTCCCAAGAAATAAGATATATAGTTATTCCCCAGAATTACCACCATCCCCCCAAAACGTTTGTTTTTGGAAGAAAAACTCCATAAAGTAAAGGAAATCCTGACTAATGTCTGCCACAGTTGTGCTTATATTTGGGTTGATTCGCAGTGTTTTGTGAAATACTTATGATACAGCGTGTTCCAGGCCTCAGTGGAGTTGGTGTTCTACAGATAATATCTTACTATTAACCCTTAAAGAGCCAGAGAAGAAGAGTGTTTTCTGCATAAATAATTTGAGGCAATAAGTGGTCATTATTTTGGGTGAACATATTACAGGGCTATTCATTAAAGCAGAGTAAATCCAAAACCTTGTGTTATTAGTCTGGATCCCACATTACTAAAATTAGATATGAGTGGGGACCTAACTTGTACCAAATAATAGTATGCATCATTTAAAGCAGATCTGTCACTTTTTATATATTCTTTATAAAATGCTGATTAAGGCTGTATTGGAATTTTACTGAAATCCCAACAAAATCCAAAGTTATCCTAAGACAAAGTAGGGACTACTGTGTCTTATGGTAAAGTCTGTCAACTTTTGTCCAATCCCAGTAGCCGTCGGATGGCTGTGTGCTTCAAGCCTTTTCTGTGGATTATCTTGCAGGATCCTCCATAGACCTCCGTGTTTTAATCTTGCGCATGCATGAGGGTAATGTGAAGAGCCAGGACCCGAAGGGATCTGCAGCCTAAACATGGCAGCGATCGCGAGGGACGGCAAAAGGAAAGGACAATAAAATAGCTATTTCAGCATAATTGGAGAAACTACACGTACACCTTGTAAAGTATTGTATCTTATAACAGCATTGGTTTAAAAATCCATACTTCTGCTATCTATCCACCCAAAACTGAGTTTGTCCTCCATCTTATACTAAGTTCTATTTTGTATTCCGCACAGATTTACTGGAGGCTATGTCCAACAAAGGATTATTTTATGGAAAATACCCTATATCATTTGTTAAAGGGACACTATAGGGCCAAGAACACAAACAGGTATTCCTGAAAAAAAACAATCTCTAGCCCCCCTGGCCCCTCCCTTGTCCCCCTAAATATAGAAAAATCTTTCCTTTATTCCAGTCTGCTGGTGCTGGCTCTGCCCCGATCTGTCTGCTTGGATGATTTCAGCCAGTCACAAAGCTTTCCCATAGGAAAGCATTGGATTGGCTGAGATTGTCAATTCTGATGATCTCAGCCAAGGAGGCATTGAATCAATGCATCTCTATGAGGAAAGTTCAGTGCCTCCATGCTGAGGGTGAAGACACCGAATGGCAGTGCTGCAGTGTCCTGCACTGCCCCAGGAAGTTCCTCTAGTAGCCATCTGAGGAGTGGCCAGTGAAGTTATCACTAGGCTGTAATGTAAACACTGCCTTTTCTCAGAAAAGACAGTGTTTACAGCAAAAAGTCTGCAGGGACTAATTATACTCACCAGAACAAATACAATAAGCTGTTCTGTTGACCAGGGCCGCCATCAGCGGGTGACAACCATGATGGTTGTAACGGGCCCGGCGGTCCTGGGGGGCCCGGTCTGCTCTGGCAGTCTCGGGCCCCACATTCCCTCTCTGCACACATAGCGAATATCGCTATCTATGTTTGCAGCCGCGGGCCCCCGGCTCCCTGTTACCGCAGAGGGGGCCCAGCACACTGCCTCTACTCTTCTCCTCTCTTCTAATAACTCTTGCGAGACCCGTGGCCTTCTGAGTGTTGCCACGGGTTACTCGCGAGAGTTATTAGAAGAGAAGAGTAGAGGCAGTGTGCTGGGCCCCCTCTGCGGTAACAGGGAGCCGGGGCCCCCCCATGCCACCGGACCACCAGGGATGTAATCTCCCCCCTCCCTGGACACAGGTAAGAAGCAGGGAGGGGGGGAGAAACATTTAATGAAATTAATATAAAATTAATGTGAAAATGCCCCTTCCTCCAGCCCCTCTCCCCTAGATTGCACATTAACACACACTGCATTCACTACACTTACACACATTCTGCATTCACTACACTAACACACATTCTGCATTCACTACACACTAACACACACTCTGTGTTCACTACACTGACACACACTCTGCATTCACTACATTGACACACACTCTGCATTCACTACACTGACACACACTCTGCATTCACTACACCGACACACACTCTGCATCCGCTACACACTAACACACTCTCTGCATTCACTATACATTAACACACACTCTGCATTCACTAAACTATGCACACACTCTGCATTCACTATACTGACACACACTCTGCATTCACTACACTAACATACACTCTACATTAACTGTACACACAGCATCCACTACACAAACATCCTGTATTCACAGTACACACACTACATCCACCACACATTGAAACACTCCGCATTCACTATACACAGACACTGCGTCTAATACAGACACTGCGTCCACTAAACACATTTCATCTAGTACACACAAACACTACATCCACTACACAACACACACTACATCACTGTACACACACTACATCCACTACTCAAACACACTCTGCGTTCACTATACACACTGCATCCGCTACACAAACACACACTCTGCATTCACTGCACAAACAGTATCTAATACACACAAACATTAGATACAGCATGTGTGTGTGTCCATCAATGTAAATGTGCATGTGTCTGTCAGTGTATGTCTGTATCTGTGAGTATGTTTGACAGTTTATGTGTGTGCGTGCCTGTCTGTCAGCATGTGTGTTTGTCTATCAATAATGTATATGTGCATCTGTGTGTCAGTGTATGTGTGTGCTTGTGCTTAGGTGACCAGCCCCTCCTCCGATCATGTGGGAATGGTGTTTATACTCCCCCCACCCCCTACAGCTGGCCCCATCTCTATGGCTGAAATAATCAGATTGATGATCTCTGCCAATCCAACTGAGAAGCTACTGTGCATGCGCTGCATAACGCTGCCAGTCAGCATACCCTCCTAGAGCATATCTATGGGGAACATTCAGCGCCTCCATGCAGAGTGTTGAGGTGTTGATTGTAGATGCTGCCTACTGTGCAGCCCTGGAATAGAAAGCACTTTAGTGGCTGTCTGAGTTACTGCCACTAGAGGTATCACTAGGCAGCAGTGTAAGCACTGCTTTTTCTCTGAAAAGTAATTGTTTACATTGGAAAGCCTGCAGGGACAGGCTATAGACCCCAGAACCATTACATTAAGCTGTAGTGCTCATGGTGACTATAGTGTCTCTTTAAGAATTGTGTTTTTGTTGTAGAAAATAAAGCTTTGTAAGATTAAAAAACCTGGCTCCTAACTTTTGTAGCTGGCTCCTAGATTCAAAGAAAAATTTTCAAGCCGTGTACTAACAGATAACATTTTATAGTATAACTTAGTTGACTGTTTACACTAAGTTTGCAATCTGCCATAGATCCCCTCGCTGATATGAGATGTATGTCAGAATGTTGAAGGCATAAAATTAAAGGGACTCTCAGCCTATCACTACTCCCTAATCTATATTATAGACCAGGGCTTGACAAATTTGCTTGGAATCTAGGAGCCAGCTAAAAAGTTAGTTTCCAGTTTTTTTTGTTTGATTTTTTTAACTAAGAATGTTTCACTTTCAATGACAAAAATACATATCTTAAAGGGATACTATAGTCACCAGAACCACTACAGCTTAATATAGTGGTTCTGGTGTCTCCTGTCCCTGTCGGCAGAGCAATGTAAACACTGCCTTTTTAGAGAAATTGCAGTGTTTACTTTGCTGCCTTGTAACACTTCTACTGACAGTCACTCAGATGGCTACTAGAGGTGCTTCCTAGTCCAGGGCTGCACAGTAGGCAGCACTGACGTTCAGCGTCTCCACGCTCTGCATGGAGGCGCTGAATGTTCCCCATAGATGCATGGATTCAAAGCATATCTTTAAGGATATGCTGATTGGCGCTGAGTGGCGTTTTGTTACGCATTAGCAATAGCCTCCCAATGTTTTCCTACGAAGAAGCATTGGCTTGGCTGAGATCGACACCTTTCCCATGTGATCAGAGAGGGGCCAGTAACCTAAAACACTCCCTCACTGACAGACACATTTCTTCACACACTCACATATATTTGTTTTTTATTTTTATTTCTGTGCACCTTTGTTAGAGCTGGAGTGGATTATTATCCTGGGCTTTAGTGTAATCTTGTTTAATCTTCAAGCTCTGCTTGCTCTGCTCCCTCACGCACTGTATAGTAATGCGGGGGCTGGAATGACATCATATCTCGGCTTCCGGTATCACAGCAGGCCGCGCAAGGGAGCAGACTGAGAACTGCAGTGAGATTTCTGCCCCTAGTCTCCATGCTCTGCCAGCAGGACGCCTCCACGTTCCCTATGCCATGCCATGTGAGTATACCTTTATAGTAATAATGACTCCTATAGGCTATTTATTTATATAAAATATTTCATGTGGCAGACAGCAGCCCATAATTAACCCCTAAAGGACCAAACTTCTGGAATAAAAGGGAATCATGACACGTCACACATGTCATGTGTCCTTAAGAGGTTAACCTTTATGCTGCAAAGTTGTTGTTTTTTAACTGTTTGCCCAATGGACAAACCGTTCCTCAAATGATCAATTCACTTGAAAAACTGAAAATAATGTTAATTTTGCTAACGTGCACCCTACTGAATTTTGTTAAAGCTGGCGCTTTGTAAACCTTCGTATAGGTTCAGATGTGAAAGCGGCGTTTTTAATCCAGACACCTAATGCATCCATACAACTGCTTCACACCAGGCCAGACAGAGGGAATTCCATCCGTATCTGGATTTAGTAATACTACGAATTCCCAATGCAGTAGGAATGTTGTTATTTTCACCAAATTTTATTCATCCAGTTAAAATCTGGTGTTAATAATCTCGTAAGTCTGTACGTCTGTCCCCCAGCTGTCATTCATAGCTGGAATTCTATTTTTTCAGGCAGCCTGTGTTCATTCTGTCCAAGATCGGTATGCGGTATTTGTACGCTGCCCATGCAACGTAGGATAATCTCTCTCCTCTCCCTGTAATTAACATACGGCTCAGTTCACTAAAGTGTGAACCAGTCTGTGTGTACCAGTCTGTGTGTACACGGTTAGCAGACGCACATAACTTATATCAGATTATTGAGCAGTTAACCCTGTGTGATGACTGCCTCTGCTCTTAAGGGTTAAACTCCTTATACATAAACCACTTCTGGACAGACCTCACAGGCCAGAATGAGTGGCCCCTGATTGGCAAAACATCATCCAGGTGAGGTCACCAGAAGGTGAGTATACAGTTGCAAGAAAAAGTATGTGAACCCTTTGGAACGATATGGATTTCTGCACAAATTGGTCATAAAATGTGATCCGATCATCATCTAAGTCACAACAATAGACAATCACAGTCTGCTTAAACTAATAACACACAAAGAATGAAATGTTGCCATGTTTTTATTGAACACACCATGTAAACATTCACAGTGCAGGTGGAAAAAGTAATTCTTGACCATTCCTCTTTACAGAACTGTTTCAGTTCAGCAATATTCTTGGGATGTCTGGTGTGAATCGCTTTCTTGAGGTCATGCCACAGCATCTCAATCGGGTTGAGGTCAGGACTCTGACTGGGCCACTTCAGAAAGCGTATTTTCTTCTGTTTAAGCCATTCTGTTGTTGATTTACTTCTATGCTTTGGGTCATTGTCCTGTTGCAACACCCATCTTCTGTTGAGCTTCAGCTGGTAGACAGATGGCCTTAAGTTCTCCTGCAAAATGTCTTGATAAACTTGGGAATTAACTTTTCCTTCGATGATAGCAATCCGTCCAGGCCCTGACGCAGCAAAGCAGCCCCAAACCATGATGCCCCCACCACCATACTTCACAGCTGGGATGAGGTTTTGATGTTGGTGTGCTGTGCCTTTTTTTCGCCACACATAGTGTTGTGTGTTTCTTCCAAACAACTCAACTTTGGTTTCATCTATCCACAGAATATTTTGCCAGTACTGCTGTGGAACATCCAGGTGCTCTTGTGCAAACTGTAAACGTGCAGCAATGTTTTGTTTGGACAGCAGTGGCTTCCTCTGTGGTATCCTCCCATGAAATCCATTCTTGTTTAGTGTTTTACGTATTGTAGATTCGCTAACAGGGATGTTAGCATTTGCCAGTGACTTTTGTAAGTCTTTAGCTGACACTCTAGGATTCTTCTTCACCTCATTGAGCAGACTGCGCTGTGCTCTTGCAGTCATCTTTACAGGACGGCCACTCCTAGGGAGAGTAACAGCAGTGCTGAACTTTCTCCATTTATAGACAATTTGTCTTACCGTGGACTGATGAACAGCAAGGCTTTTGGAGATACTTTTATAACCCTTTCCAGCTTTATGCAAGTCAACAATTCTTAATCGCAGTTCTTCTAGAGCTCTTTTGTGTGAGGCATCATTCACATCAGGCAATGCTTCTTGTGAAAAGCAAACACAGAACTGGTGTGTGTTTTTTATAGGGCAGGGCAGCTGTAGCCAACACCTCCAATCTCATCTCATTGATTGGACTCCAGTTGGCTGACATCTCACTCCAATTAGCTCTTGGAGATGTCATTAGTCTAGGGGTTCATATACTTTTTCCACTTGCGCTGTGAATGTTTACATGGTGTGTTCAATAAAAACATGGCCACATTTAATTCTTTGTGTGTTATTAGTTTAAGCAGACTGTGATTGTCTATTGTTGTGACTTAGATGATGATCAGATCACATTTTATGACCAATTTGTGCAGAAATCCATATCATTCTTAGCTTAGCTATAGTCTCCAATTTGCACTTTGTCATGAATTTTCCTTTTTACTACAATTTAGTGTTTAACGAACACAATTTAAAGGGATCTATTTTACTAAACTGTGACTTGCAATGTATTGAAACCTGAATTGCAAAACTGACACCAACAAAAGTTAATTTAAAAAAAAAATATGCAACAACTCTGCTTTAGTTACAATTTGACTATTTTAGCTAGAATTTCGCAAGGTTACTTCATTCACTTTATGAATGGACTTTCACATAGGCAGCATATAATACACGGGGCTCTGTGGAAATGATTGCTTTTATGTGATTCTTCAAAGTTGAGTAACATCAGATTAGGTCATTCGAATAACTCAATACAAGGGAAAGCAGAACTTGACATGTTTCAAACCTGGATCTGACTCTTAATCATTGGCTGTATGTAGGCGTGGAACGCATCATGCGTCATTGTGCCTTGCCTTGCCTTGCCTTGCCACAGATCGAGGGAGATATATCAATGTTTCTAAATGTTTGTCAAAAAGAAAAATAGGTATTTGCCTTTTGTTTCCCGCGAGTATTCTGCGCCGCTCTCCGCGATAAAAAGTAATGTACGAGAACTCCAGGGAAAAAACCAATAGTTTTCTGGTGGAAAAATTATGTTGATGTTAATAATGGGATACCTTAAACAAAAAGTGACCCAAAATAAAAAATTATGGAGAATTTGCAAATGTCATAAATAGTGCAAAAAGGGGGTCAGAAATATCTCAGAAAAGGTACAGATTATTCAGCCACACTTTGGTAAATCACCAGCATTACTGTAAAAAGTAGATGACGCTGCAAAGGTTACGGGGGGGACAAGGGTATGTTCCTGGTCTAGGAGGAGGAGCCTTCCAGTTGTGGACACTTTGTGTTCCAGTGTAGCAGCTTTCTGATCTAGGTTTTCATTTTTTACTTTACTTTTTTTTTTCTGTATATTTTTTAACACATTAGCTATTTAATGCATTAGATAATTGGGGTCAATTACTATTTATTGTTTCCCTTATATAATAATAAAAATATCACATATAAAATTATGTAATGTATTGGTTAGCTTGCATTGCATTAAGGGATACCACACTCTGCATTGTGGGAGCTCACATAATGCTTCTGCACTGACATATCTGTGATTTAGCTTCAATCTTCTACAAGGAATAAAATCTAAATCACTGTATATACCCTCATTTTTCAGCAATTAGGCCACCGGGGCATCATGGGAAATGTATTTAGGGGACTAAGGCTAGTAAAGTATATTTAGGTGACTTGTTGTTCTCTTTAGAAAAGCCAGTTTTTCCATTCCACGTTCGTAATGTGTAATGTGGTGTGTCTGCATCCCGTGTGCACACGACAAATACTTTCACAAAATACAGTCACAGACTGCGTCACATAGTAACCCTTTTCCTTCAAAAATGGACAGAAAATACCATCTGTTCATCATTTTTCTAAAAAAGCGTTATCGCTATTGCTACGACTGTGCAAGATACGCACATTAACTTATTTTTCTTTGTGTTCTTGTGTGAAGTACATTTTGCACTTTTCACGAAAAAGAACACGTATTTTTGTGATATGCGCTATAATTGTAGATTATGCTAGCTTTAGTAATATAATTTTAATTTTATAACATGACAGGAGGCTTCATATTTTGCTTAAGCTCCCCAGCATAACATTCACGTAGTAACAGGATAAACCAATCAGAAAAAAGGAACACAGATAATAAAAGTCCCTCCCCAAATCAGCTCTTCCTCTTTCTGGCTGCGACACGAACCAAACAGGAACTGATGAACGAACTGGAATTAAGTCTCAGAAGAGTCCAAGATTAACAGGAACGGTCTTGAATCTGCACACTGGAAGGCCTTTTAAACTGAAACGAAAGAAGAGAGTCGAAAGGAGGGATTCATCAGAGAATTGGACTCCTAAATGCATGCAACCTAGATGATTAAAATTCAGAGTTTAACCAGTTATAGTTACTAACTGAACAAAAAACCAGACATGCTATAAGAGAACTGCAACCGTACTCACCCCTCTGTCTTACCTGATGAAGCAAACAAAAGGGACAGGGAAAAGAAAGGGTGGGAAATATTCGCCTCCTGTCATTAATAAAATTAAGATACACTAAAGCTAGCAAAATTTACAATTTTATAACATGACAGGAGGCTTCATATTTTGCTGTTTTGACACACAGCCGGACTGAAGTAGAAATTGCGGAAAGTCTCCTCCCGGGACCAATCCGTGGATTTGGGGATATCATGTAGAGAAGCACCTGCCATAAATGCACCTGAGGCCGCCGCCCCCCTGACCGAATGTGCCCCAAAGGAAGCTTCGACCCTCGCTAAGGAGAGTAACCATCTGATCCAATGTGCCAGGGTGGTGGTTGAGACTGGGGCATGGAGGCAAACGTACGAGACCAATAGTTGACCAGAGGGAGAGGAACGGAGGGAAGCGGTAACAGCTCAGTAATGAGAGAGGGTAGACGCCACACATAATTTCGTGAAATTGGAAAAATATGGATAGAAAGCCGCGAAGAAATCGGATTCCGTACGTTGGGATCTGGAGAAGGTAACCCCTCCCCTTTCCAATTTGCACACCTTGGGGGAATCTGAGTCATCACATTCTTCTGCAGAGCGTAGTGGCTCGGGGGAAGTTTTGTCCTTAAGCTCCGAGGGAAGGACCCGTGCTAGGGCCTTTTCAATAGAAGCAGCCACTGCTGCGTTAATAAGCGCCTGGAGATTCTGGTCTTGAGCGGAATCCATAATGTTAGCCAGTTCACCTGAGGGGCAGAATAAGCCAGTATTAGAAACAGGGACCAGTGCGCATATATGTAATAAATTTAGCCACATATATATAACTGGGGCTGACCCAGTAGAAAAATCCTCCGGTTGTATATATACCCTGTAGGGAGGTAATAGGGCACAGACAAAGCGGGCCAATCAGATAGATGTACCAGGGACAGCGAAACCATGCAGTGACCAATATAAATATACCCGATAGAGTGGTCATAAATAAATATAGGGGTTTCACCCCTTACAATATCACTTGGATGTAGAAGTGGCTTAGTGTAGATATAATAATAATATGAGGGTTTACCCCAGTATAGGTATTGTGGCAGAAGTACCCACTCTGCTATAGTGAAGGGTCCAATAAGAGGGGCTCACCCTCTAAACCCTGTAGCGTAATGCAGGTAAATAATAATAAATATGAATCCTGTGATACAGATGGTAAAGTAAGGGTGGCAGCAGTGCGTGAGACTGCTGCAGGAACCTTGAATACATATGAGAAAAACACTCTATGGAATTAGGATGATATACTAACAATCAAAAGCAGACTGATTCATAGCAATGTGTGCAAGCTAGTTTAATGACACAATATACTAATCACTTATACTTGAATTAAAACTTTAATCCTCCCAGAGCAAACTACAATCATTGAGAGAGATGACCTAGCCTAACGTAAGGCTAGGTGCATCAGATAGCATCCAGCGATTTGCGGGAGACAGCCGCGAGCCAGGCGCAAACTAGGGTATCAATGCGCACTAGAGAGCCTGCACGGATCGCAGACTCCAACAAAATGGCCACCGCAATCTCTCACAGGCGCGCAGGATCCAAGATGGCTGCCAGGATTTAGCGCTAGTGCGCGGGATCTCAGATGGCCGCCACAAGGTAGAAAAAGCCCTGGAAAATCGGGGAGGCAAAAAGCCAGCCGCTATACCGGACAAATGAAAGCAACACAAAAGAAACAATAAGACACAAAACAAAATAATGAAAATTACCCTGAGAGAAAGCAGAGCAAAAACCCATGTAAAATAAGAGAGGAAAAAATATAAAGCAAAAGTAGAAGTATTATAAAAACAGGATGTACCTCAGAAAACATATATAATAAGGGAAACCATAAGAAATGACAGAATAAAAAGAAACATCAGAAAAAACAAGATAAAATACAGTAATCCCCACAGAGTGGGAGACAGTGAGCTGTACTGGTGAGGAGCAGCAAAGAAAGAGGAAGAGCTAAATGGGGGAGGGACTTTTATTACCTGTGTTCTTTTTTCTGATTGGTTTATCCTGTTACTATGTGAAAGTTATGCTGCTGGGGAGCTTAAGTAAAGAAAGTTTTAAGCAAAATATGTATGTATCTATCTATATTCTTTTTTTAACAGAAAAGCCCGTTACAGTACATCTAAAACACTAATTATATCCAATTTATATTAATTTTAATATTTAATTTAATAAAATAATGATAGTCAGAAACAGAAAAAACAGAAAATTGAATATTTTTTATTATTTTTTTTACAAAAATGCAAAAAAAAAAAAAAAAGAGACTTGCTGCGGCCATAATTACGTGTCTGTCTTTTTTTTCCTATCACATTGGTCTTTCAAAAGGTAGCAGATTTAAACTAAATCTCCCCTGTGCTTTTAAGTATGTTATGCAAATATTTCAATATAAATTTCCAAACAAATAAATTTGAAATAACCTTTGGCGTTCCTTCATTTACTTCTTGTGCAGTAAGATCTCATCAAACCAGGAAGTGGCTCAGCCAATCCAATTGCTCCCTTTATGGAGTGATAGTGAAACCTTATATATACGGGTTAGCCGGGACGTGCGCTATTACTATCCACTGTAGGTTTGATTCATGAAAAAGAATGAAGTTATGTGTGCAGGGTTATATAAACTGGATGCTATAGAGTAATTTGTGGACTTTATGAATTAACTTAGTCGTGGGTTATACAGCTTTAAGTAAAACAAAAAACCTGCTAGCTGAACTGCAACACTTAAAAACTCCCAATACACAGTGGTTATGGTGGACAATCGGACTGGATGTTTGGTTCCAATTTCTTTATTTTATCATAAAAAAAAAAAAGAAAAAGAAAATAATTTTTTAAACACCCAGGCAGCATGTCAGTAGTATGTGTGTGTGTGTGTGTCTGGAGATTTGTGCATGTTCCATTAGCTTACTAAAATATAACAATAGTTTTTATTGTTTAAATGACATTATTTGCCCGGCTGTTCCTGACACAGCCAAGGCATACCATGCAAATTAATTAAAAACCCATGGTGCTGTGCATTCAGACTCTTTGGAAAGAATGTCATATGTTTTACACCTACCTAGCTATACTTGCCCTGCGTACCCCAAAAAGTACTTCAGCAGCATTTGCTGAGGTGAAGGAATGAGGGGCTGTCACTATCAGGGAGTTTCCAGACTGTTTCTTTTTAACCGTGACATAAATCCTTTCGGCATCCTGGCAGCCCTATCAATGTTTTACTTACACTCATTATTTTATCATCACTTTTCCACCATAACTACATGATAAATTCATTTTTTTATTTTTTATTTCTATTTAAGAAGTTGTTTATATGTACGATGAACTTTATTTTTATACAGTGGAAATTGTTACCCCTTTTATATTATTGTCAAAGTTATGTTGTGATATTTATGTAAGACTATACCTGTCCTGTTTTCTCATATTGACAGACAGGCCCATTTGGCAGGCTTACATACTGTCTGCATTTCAAAGTGAATTTTAGGTTCAGTTGCGGAAGTCAATCAAGAGGTGAGATATTGCAGATCACCATAGAATATTTTGGCTCTTCATAATTAGCAATACTGTTAATTATTATGTTAATAATGTTAATAAATGAAAAATGTTCTGCGTTTGCACATACTGCCGCTAATCGTGCCCACTCGGACAGACTGGGTACATTGGTTGGATGGCATTGCAAATCCAATCATATCTGTATATATATACATTACATGGCAATTTTACTAAAATACTAAAAACTGTTCCACATCACACATCATTTCTGTGCTTTACATTTTGCGTAGAAGAGAGCTAGCTGAGCAATTTAAAAATAGAATAGAAAGAACTCGTCAATTTCAACATTAATTATTTAAAGTGGTGTCACCTCCCTTCCCGAACAATTGGCACGTCGTTTGCTTTAATTTATACTCCTGCTCGACAAATCGCAAAGTATCAACAGTGTTTACTTAAAGGGATACTCCCAATTCTTTGTTTAGAACATTATATTGGTAATGCATGAAAAAATGTATTCAAAAATAATATATTAAAAATAATATACAATGTAATATACAAACTTCTTACGATTCTTCATTTAATGCAAATCCCCAAGATTTAATATAGCATAATAATAAAGTCAATAAAAATGACAAAGTAATCTTCATATTTTATCACATGTAAAACATTTCTAGTAAATTAATAGTAGATAAAATGTTTCTACCCGCCGTATTTAATGTTCTCTCTGTATGTAATACATTAAGAACATGTAGATAATATTGTAGAAGTATTTTTACAAATATCTTAACATCTGCCTAAATTGTTTGCTAATACTGAATGCAAATTATAAGTATTTATTATGCTTTAGTGATTAATTTTAATTTCTCTTTTCAATTGATGCTCCCAGTTTAACCTCTTAAGGACCAAACTTCTGGAATAAAAGGGAATCATGACATGTCACACATGTCATGTGTCCTTAAATTAAAGACATCACTGTAAAGACTTTCAGCTTGTACGCGTAATTTGTTTTGTACAGAAGTTCAAAGCAAAACAGAATTTCGTGGCCTCTTGAGCTTAGACTTTCGCTGTCGCTTTATATACGCTCGTAAAACATTTTTGGAACCGTGCCTCTTTAATCAGATATTTATTTTTGCATCTATACACCAAGATGACTTTTTGAACGTGTTATTATTTCCAACACTTGTTGTGGAAGGTTTTAGGTCATCTATAAATCAGGCCTTTCCTGTGGAGGTAAATAAAATCTGATGGCAGACTGTTCAATATCCTTGTTTTTTTGGAAACGGGAAACGCTGAGGGTCTAAATTAACACATACTTTGCCCAACCAAGCTGTTTTTGTCGACCTGTTTTTATTTAGGAAACAGTTTTTTATAGGGAAAAGGGAAACTTGCAGTGACTTGGCACAAACACCGGACACATTTGCACAAATTGTTTTCCTTTCATTTTATTTACTTCTATATTCGTATAAAGTACCAAAAATCTATTCCCTGGCAATAGCTTAGTCAGCAAGTTCGAAAAAGAAAAACAGACTGCTAACCTAGTGAGAAATTTCAGTGGCTAGGGCTCCTGTCTGAGTCGCAGGTTCGATTCCCTGCAAGATAAGCTCAGGCTTTAACAAAATGAACAAGGCTTCGATTTAATATTTTTGTTTAATCTTTTCAAATTATTTGATATTTTTGGATAAACTTTTGAAATGATTTTGTCAAAATATTAAAGTATAAAATATCTGTGTGTGTGTGTGTGTGTGTATTAACCCCTTAGTGACCAGACCGCTTTTCAATTTTGTTACCGTTAAGGACCAGGGCTGTTTTTACATTTCTGCAGTGTTTGTGTTTAACTGTAATTTTCCTCGTACTCACTTACTGTATCCACACATATTATATACCGTTCTTCTCGCCATTAAATGGTCTTTTTTAAAGATACCATTATTTTCATCATATCATATGTTACTATAAATAATATTATAAAATATGATGAAATAATTTAAAAAAACACACTTTTTCTAACTTTGAGCCCAAAAATATGTTATGCATCTACAACCCCCAAAAAACACCCATTCTAAATAGTTGGTAGTAGTAGTCAAAATTTTGTCTTGAGTTTAGAAATATGCAATGTTAACATGTTCTTAGCTTTTTTTGGAAGTTATAGGGCTATACGTACAAGTAGCACTTTGCTATGCCCAAACCATTTTTTTTTTCTTCAAAATTAACGCAAGTTACATTGTAACACTGATATCTGTCAGGAATTCCTGAATAACCCTACACATGTATATATTTTTTTAAAAGAAGACAACCTAAGGTTGGGGTATTTTGACTCTTTTCGTGCAACCATTTTACCACCAATCTATGCCAAAAAAAAACCTCCAAAATTGGTGATTTTTTTGACCCACATAGCAATTTAAGAATACATATACTGAGAACTTTAAGGGTTACTGCCAAATAACTCCCCAATATGTGTTCAGCAACATCTCCCGAGTACATTGATACCACCCATGTATAGTTGTGTCGGGTTCTCTGGGGACTAAAATACCTTATTAAAGGTTAAAGTGAGAGTTCTTGGGTCTTTGGTCCAGGACAGCAAGAACCCAACGCTGGCTGCGGTGTTTACGGTGTCTGGTGGAGTGCTTGGTGAGCACTAGGAAGCATCGATTGGCGGAGGCACGCAGTCGGGGTGCCAGTCAGTCCGCCACACCAACTTGTACTGAGAGAGCTGAGCTGCAGACATCCTGACTGTGACTAGTCCAGATCACTAAACAATGAGCTAGGCTATGTGCAAACTGACCACAGCAGTATATTATATAACATAATAACTAGTATTTCTCCCAGTTAGACTCATATTTACTCAGAATTCACCCAATCAGCAGCTGAATAATAATAGACGTTGTTATTATTACCAAACTGATGGTACTCATTTTATCAACCTCAGAAGAATGAAGGGCTGAGTTGACCCTGCTGGGATCTGAACCTGTGATCTTGCATTTTTTAAATATTTTTTTTAACAGACTCTGTAGTCAGGGAATTTACCAACTGAGTTACCTCACTATTATTTTACAGATCAATTCATATCATCCTGTGTGATGAATGTAACGAATAACTACCCAAGGGGATGAATTACTAAAATAAGAGGCATTTTCAGATGAGGAGATGTCTGTATGCAGCTATAGGCTGACACAGTAACCAGCACATCAAATGGAACTTTGAAGGTGTGTATCTTTTTTTAGTCTACATTTTTTTATTTATAAATTTTAATGCACTACTTATATAATGCATTAAAAATAAGGGTTTTGGCTCGAGAGAAAATAAGATTGACTGATAATACTATCTCGACTGTGACCAGTCTGCTAAGGATTCCCAGCAGAACATTGCACAGAGCATAACATTGAAAGGATTAAATAGCAAATAAACTCCTCTCGATTTCAGCACCAGGAGTGTCTGCTCATTGCAACTCCTGCCTGCCTTCTGTGAAGTTATCATTTGTGATGACTTGTGTTCAATCAGATGCTTCTCATAGAGAAGCATCGGGACACTTGGCACATGTTCGATGAAATGCTTCGGGACACCTGGTACATGAGTGGCAATCTCCATAACCCATCAATCCAGTGCATGTGTAGAGTTTTAGAATGCAAGGGCAAGCATGATAAATGTTTTAGGAGAAAGTCTCCTCGCTGGCAATTTGGATAGATTCAGCAATGATTCATGGTCTTGACATTTTCCTTAGGTTCATCCCAGATGATTAAGTATAATGTGCTTTCTCTCTTTCAGTTAACTAGCACTTTTCCCTCCTCAGCAGGATGCCCATATTACCGTCTTCTTACATTTCTGCGTAGAGTTTACAGTGATGTCATCGGACTGGTGACTTCATTGTCCATCAGCGGATTCACATGTTCTAACAGTAACTGACACAGAGATGGCCTCTTAACCACAGCAAAGGTTTTCCTGGTACATTGCGAAAGCTCAAGGATTTACACAATTTGTTGTTTATTTTTAAGAGTAAAATATTTAGGGGTTTACTAAGTGACAAATTGTAATTCTCCTACCTTTTGTGATACTACTGTCAAAGGAACGATCAATATATAATATTGGATACACAGCTGAAACTTTCAGCCGATAACAGTATCCCTGTTTAACTCCTCGGACTGTAATGGAAGTATGTGGGCGGAGATGACTGGCACTGGACAGAAGACTTTGGGGTTAAACCGTTCATTAGCAGTCTTACCCTGTGGGTCAGCCAGCATTAGGGACCTCTTGGAATCATAACAACTTCATTCCGATAAAGTAGTTATGCTGCCCGGAGTGTTTCTTTAAATAAAGTTCCATTTCAGGTGCTAATTTACCCACAATCCATTAGTTAACATACGCCCACAGCAGGGCAAAGGGCAGACAACATGGACAGAGGAGAACATGTTGTCTTTAAGTAATTACTTTAATCTCAACTATGTAACATAAGGCATACGGCCTTTATTCATCAAACTGATCATTCTAAAAGTGTTGCAGAAGAGTATGTGCATTGCGAGATTGTGATCCTGTTTATATTGTTAATGCCTCATCAGCAGCCGTTAACATGTCATTAGCTCTCAAACGTTACGTTGGGAAATTCCCATTTTGTAGAAAAAAAAAAAGTGCAAGTAAAGCAAATGATGAATTCATTGGATTTGCATAATGTTAACGAAGCAACAAGAAACATAATTATAAACAACCCAGTTTGCTTACAGTTTTTTAAAGCCCCTGTGTGGTCGTCTAAGTTCTGGTTAAATCTAATACCCTGTCCAAGTTGCATCTTAATTGCTATTTTATTTACTATGTCTCCTGCAATCAGAAAGCGGCTGTATCCCATCAGTCACACCAGGGATTATAGGACAATATGTTACTTTACATGGAGGGCCCAGCCTGTGTCTTTTCAGGAGGCATGTGTGACACACCTTGAAAAATAGAAAGTTATAGATAACATTATGAGTCATTTTTAAAATGCTTCCTTTGTAATCACTGCAGTCCTCTATAAAATGAACCTGGTATTCACAAAACATCTGCACGAGTTATTAGGTTCAGCTATGTATAAAATTAGAATCACAAGGAAAAGGATAGATTGAAGAGGCACTCCACTGGCCAAATACAAAAATATAAGTGTTTTTTTTTTTTTTTTAAACTACTATTTAGTAGATTTACCTTCATTGAAAACAGCTAAAAACAGCTTGCAATAGCTGCAGATTTCTTGTCTGCAGCATGTGCAAGCACTCCTCTTTTAACCACGCTCAAAATCTGCACTTTTTTGTAGAATGAAAACACACACTCTTCATACATGAAGCACTTCAGCAAAGTATCCCTTTTAAGATGTAGTAACCTGATCATTTCCTCCACCTTCCTTGAGACCGACGCATTTTGTTGAGTCGACAAAAATAAAAAAAACGTGATCAGAAATTACAAATCAGTTAGATCAAGACCCCAGAGATTATTCTAAGGCATTTATGAACAAATGTTTGCATTAACAAAAAAAGAGGTTTGTTTAGTAAGTGCCAGATAGCAACTAAATATCCAAAATAGAGTTACTTCTATTCACACAAGGAACATTTTAGATATTTCATCCATGTTTTGCACTCTCATCCAAGTCTAGTTGAGTTAGCAATTCTAATTTCTAAATTTCCCTACATGCTGGCTAATTCTCCTAGTAACAAATAACTGAATAGCTACGGAATCTTTCATTTAGTTTCATTCCATGATTACAGTCCACGGAATTTTCTGTAATACAAAACCCTCCTCACCCTAAATCATTTTGACTTTACTCTAAACACCTCAAGCATTTTTATTTTGTTATATGGGGAACATTTAGCTGCCGATCGGTTTTATCAATGCTACAATGAGATCTATTTGAAAGTTACGGGACCTGTTCAGCTCAATGTTTTTGGGGCGATAGTGTATAAAATGAATCTTGGAGGAATTTAACCCAGTTTATTAAAGAAAAAAACTGAAAAAATGAAAGTGACTGAGAACTGAAATCCGAATCCAAAATTTGGCATTTGTTGGATATCCCCCACGGACATTCAACAAAGATATGGATAAATGCGATCGTTCTAAAACAATAATTGTTCCTGCCAGTGCTCTGTATGGAGATAGGCCAGAAGGATCATTTCTTTCTATCTATATACTTGCAGATGGTGTTACTGCAGACAGATTTACATATTTACATTCCTTGCTATAAAATCCAAGGCCTAAATTTACTTTAAAATGTACCTGTAGGCGTGAGGGGTGGGGAAGGAATAAACGTAACTTTTCAAGAATTTCCTAGATTTTTTACCAGAAGCTAAGCTTGCTACTGGACTTCCCATAGAATTCCATGAATGCACCTGTGCAATTCCCCATTCCGCCGTGTGTGCGCATGCTGAACATGGGGAGAGGAAAAGCATTATTAATTTAGACAGTGTTTACAGCAAAAAGCCTGCAGGTAATGATTCTACTCACCAGGACAAATACAATAAGCTGTAGTTGTTCTGGTGACTATAGTGTCCCTTTAAAATAGCTATTTTCTGTAACGTTCCAAGAAACAGGGGCAATAAAGAGAGAACAGATTAACAAGTTTAATTTATACGGCACCTTTTTGTACTGTGCATTTTGTATTTCTGCTTTAATGGTGTCTTTTAATGTTTTCTACAAAGACTTTATTTTTGGGGGGAGTATACTCCTTACCTAATGGTGACGGAATAAAAAGTTGTATAAAATGATAAACATCTGCTAAGTAAATCTTAATACACCATCATTTTAATAAATAAGATATTGGCCTAAATTAAAGCTATTTAAATTTAAAATTTGCTCATTTCTTTACCCACATTCCCTTTGTTGATTCTTGAATACAGTTATGTAAAAAAAAGGTTTAACTTGTGGGCATGTTTCTGTTGATTTGCCCGTGTGTGTTATGTTCGGTTGTTTATGAATAGCGTTAGTTGTTTTTTTCAAAGGAAGTATTTTTTTCGAAGTTTTCTTTAGCAAAGGAAATATTTTCTGGTTCGTTTTCTATTAACAAACCACAGTATACTTTCCATGTATCACTTTTATCCTTGTTATTTTTAAACACTATATATATATATATATATTTTGGCCACAAGGAAGTCGTCTGCAAAACAATGTCACAATGTCACCGTTATTATTCCAGCTCAATATAGATAACGTAGCACGCATGGTGAAAAAGACATTTTTGTTTTTTGCATTTAAATACATTATAATATACGGATGCTTGTCTTAGGGAAACAAATATTTTCTTCATTATATAATTTGTTTGATAAGCCTTCTTATCAAATACCATTTGATTTGTGTCTGCTAAAATCCACAGCTTGATCTCACTACGTGGTTTAATTCTGCATAGACTCACAGAGGTCAAAGTGTTAAAGGGATTCTTAACTACAGTGTATCAATAAAGGGATATTTTTGATAAGGTACTTCTTTTGTGATTATAGCAAATCAAAAGAGTTTTGAATATATTTTCATAGCAAGGCAGCAGAAATAAAAATCTAAACTTTCTTTTGTGGCAATAAGATAATTTTATAAAGCTTAGTTTAGGGGCATTTGGCATGAGTTATAGCCTGTCCGGCAGCAGAAACTAAATTTGCCATGAAGCTATGCAAACCTGCATCTTAGTAAAGCCAAGACTAGCCATCACTTCTCAAGGCTGTATAATAAAAAAAACTACATTTCCCATGGTGCTCTATTAGTCTGCAAATCTGCAACAGATTTCCCAACTGTGACTGCGCTCTTTGTGTGACTCATTACATGTTCAGCAATAAAACCAGACAAGTCTGGGCACATTTTAGAGCAGTAAAGACACATTACTGGGAGTATTATTGCTGTGGAGCTCTGTTATACACTCAGACACATTACTGGGAGTATTATTGCTGTGGAGCTCTGTTATACACTCAGACACATTACTGGGAGTATTATTGCTGTGGAGCTCTGTTATACACTCAGACACATTACTGGGAGTATTATTGCTGTGGAGCTCTGTTATACACTCAGACACATTACTGGGATTATTATTGCTGTGGAGCTCTGTTATACACTCAGACACATTACTGGGAGTATTATTGCTGTGGAGCTCTGTTATACACTCAGACACATTACTGGGAGTATTATTGCTGTGGAGCTCTGTTATACACTCAGACACATTACTGGGAGTATTATTGCTGTGGAGCTCTGTTATACACTCAGACACATTACTGGGAGTATTATTGCTGTGAGCTCACACTCAGACACATTACTGGGAGTATTATTGCTGTGGAGCTCTGTTATACACTCAGACACATTACTGGGAGTATTATTGCTGTGGAGCTCTGTTATACACTCAGACACATTACTGGGAGTATTATTGCTGTGGACCTCTGTTATACACTCAGACACATTGCTGGGAGTATTATTGCTGTGGAGCTCTGTTATACACTCAGACACATTACTGGGAGTATGATTGCTGTGGAGCTCTTTTACACACTCAGACACATTACTGAGAGTATTATTGCTGTGGAGCTCTGTTACACACCCAGACACATTACTGGGAGTAATATTGCTGTGGAGCTCTGTTATACACTCAGACACATTACTGGGAGTATTATTGATGTGGAGCTCTGTTATACACTCAGACACATTACTGGGAGTAATATTGCTGTGGAGCTCTGTTATACACTCAGACACATTACTGGGAGTATTATTGCTGTGGAGCTCTGTTATACACTCAGACACATTACTGGGAGTATTATTGCTGTGGAGCTCTGTTATACACTCAGACACATTACTGGGAGTATTATTGCTGTGGAGCTCTGTTATACACTCAGACACATTACTGGGAGTATTATTGCTGTGGAGCTCTGTTATACACTCAGACACATTACTGGGAGTATTATTGCTGTGGAGCTCTGTTATACACTCAGACACATTACTGGGAGTATTATTGCTGTGGAGCTCTGTTATACACTCAGACACATCACTGGGAGTATTATTTCTGTGGAGCTCTGTATACACTCAGACACATTACTGGGAGTATTATTGCTGTGGAGCTCTGTTATACACTCAGACACATTACTGGGAGTATTATTGCTGTGGAGCTCTGTTATACACTCAGACACATTACTGGGAGTATTATTGCTGTGGAGCTCTGTTATACACTCAGACACATCCCTGGGAGTATTATTGCTGTGGAGCTCTGTTATACACTCAGACTCATTACTGGGAGTATTATTGCTGTGGAGCTCTGTTATACACTCAGAAAGTTCAATGTTTACAATGCAGCACTAAGTCAGCCTCTAGTGGCTTTCTCCCAGACAGCTTGGTATCCCTGGCACTAGATTATAGTAAGACCACACAATTAGATGTGTTAAAAATAATAATCTATTTTGTGCTGTGTTTTATTGCCCTTCCCCACCCTCCCCCGGCACTCACAGGGTTACTTCCATGTTGTGTTATGTGACTTGCGGTAAATCTAATATTCTCTCCTTTCCATATTTACCGAAACATCATAAAACATTTCCTTTTCCTTTAATCATTAGATCTTATCTGCAGAACATGCATTTTGTACCTTTGTGTTCCTGCAAGTCATTGTCATGTATAATACATATCACTGAATATACATTCCATATAATAATTATGAAATGTTTCACTTATTAACCCCTTAAGGACACAACTTCTGGAATAAAAGGGAATCATGACGGAATATTTCCGTCATGTGTCCTTAAGGTGTTAAATATATCTTTAATGTTTGTAAAGCACCAACATATTCTGAAACAGAGTACAATGACTGTTCCCTTGAACTGCTCTCTGTAAACTGGTTCATGGATTGCAGGATAAAACTTACCAGGAAAGGTTAAAGAAATTTAACATGTATAGCTTGGAGGAAAGACGAGACAGGGGGGATATGATAGAAACATTTAAATACATAAAGGGAATCAACACAGTAAAGGAGGAGACCATATTTAAAAGAAGAAAAACTACCACAGCAAGAGGACATAGTCTTAAATTAGAGAGACAAAGGTTTAAAAATAATATCAGGAAGTATTACTTTACTGAGAGGGTAGTGGATGCATGGAATAGCCTTCCAGCTGAAGTGGTAGAGGTTAACACAGTAAAGGAGTTTAAGCATGCGTGGGATAGGCATAAGGCTATCCTAACTATAAGATAAGGCCAGGGACTAATGAAAGTATTTAGAACATTTGGGCAGACTAGATGGGCCGAATGGTTCTTATCTGCTGTCACATTCTAGGTTTCTGTAAATAAGATCTATTGGTACGATTTATTGATTGTAGATCAGTACACTAACACAATTATTTATCTGTACTGCCATATCTTACCAGGAATTAGACAAGATTTTGTTATTTGATTTTGAAATCTTTCAAAGCACTATTTAGTAAATTAAGCCTATTGTGAGTGTGTGTCCGGTTGTTTGTGGAGTGTAGAGGGGATTTTCCATTAGACTGTGAGCTGTGGTGAATTGAAAGCTAAACTTCAAAATAGCGAAGGCCTCGATTTAAAGGTAAACTATAATGCCCCCCTTCCTCGCTCCTCTCCCCCGTGCTGCAGAAGAGGTTTAAAACCCCTTCTGTCACTTACCTAATTCCAGCGCCCATGTCTCTCGGCACTGGTTTTGGTTCCATCTTTGCTCCTCTCCCGCCGACTTCAGTCGGCAAGGGGGAACTAATGCGCATTCCTGGGACAGCCGCGCTCACATTAGGACTTCTCACACAATGCTTTCCTATGGGGTTTTGGGTGACGCTGTATGGCCTCGTGCAAAGCGTGGGGACGTCCAGAGTCAGGCAACCAAAAGTCGCCTAACGACCTGGAAGTCCCTCTAGTGGCTGTCTGGTAGTCAACCACTAGAGGTAGAGTTAACCCATAACAACTGCAGTAATTACCATTGCAAGGTTCAGGGGCCCAAGACACTGCACCAAGAACACTTCAATGAGCTGAAGAGGTCTGGTCCTATAGTGTCCCTTTAATAATTTTGGAACAGCACCAGAAATGATCACTCTGTTAGAAAAACTTTTCAAATTATTTATCTAGAGAAGTTTCCATGAAAATATGTGGGAATTTTGAAAAATAAATCATTTGAAAAATGTTCTAACAGATTGTGATAATTTCTGATGCTGATCCAAACGAACTATATTGAGGCCTAAGTTAGGACATTTGCAAGTTCACCTTCTTTTAGCTGTAAAACAGGAGGGCCTGTGTTGGAGTGCCGCTGGCAGCCTGTGTTGGAGTGCCGCTGGCAGCCTGTGTTGTAGCATCGCTGGCAGCCTGTGTTGGAGCGTCGCTGGCAGCCTGTGTCAGAACTTTGCTGGCAGGCAAGTGTTAGATCATCCATGACCGGTTGGTGTAATAACATTGATGGTAGGTCTGTTGTGAAACATTTATGACAGTCTTGTGTTGGAGTGTTGCTTGCAGGTCTGTCTCGGAGCATCGCTTGCAAACCTGTGTTAGAGCATTGTTTGTAAGCCCATGTTGGAGTGATGGTGGCAGGCCTGAGTGGTTGGATCATTGGTAGGCCTGAGTTGTTGGATCATTGGCAGGCCCGTGTTGTTGGATCATTGGCAGGCCCGTGTTGTTGGATCATTGGCAGGCATGGGTTCTTGGATCATTGGCAGGCATGGGTTCTTGGATCATTGGCAGGCATGGGTTCTTGGATCATTGGCAGGCATGGGTTCTTGGATCATTGGCAGGCATGGGTTCTTGGATCATTGGCAGGCATGGGTTCTTAGATCATTGCAGGCCTGAGTTGTTGTGCCATTGGCAGGCGGTGTTGTTGTGGATCATTGGCAGGCCTGAGTTGTTGTGCCATTGGCAGGCGTGTTGTTGGATCATTGGCAGGCCGGTGTTGTTGAACCATTGGCGGGCCTGAGTTGGTAAACCATTGGCAGGCCCGTGTTGTTGGATCATTGGCAGGCCCGTGTTGTTGGATCATTGGCAGGCCCGTGTTGTTGGATCATTGGCAGGCCCGTGTTGTTGAACCATTGGCAGGCCTGAGTTGGTAAACCATTGGCAGGCCCGTGTTGTGGGATCATTGGCAGGCCCGTGCTGTTGGATCATTGGAAGGCCCGTGTTGTTGGATCATTGGCAGGCCCGTGCTGTTGGATTATTGGCAGGCCTGAATGGTTGGATCATTGGCAGGCCTGAGTGGTTGGATCATTGGCAGGCCCGTGTTGTTGGATCATTGGCAGGGCTCCACTGAGTATTTTATGTGGCTGAGTTTTAACTCTGGATTAGCATTAGGAAACCTTTTGCATCCAGTTGGCCACTGTGGAAAGAAACAAACTGTACGTGTTGTACCCGGACACATTCCTACCAAAAACTGTACATTTTGCACTTTCAAAGTGCCTCGTAAAAATTCAATATTATATTCATTTGTGAGGACCTGTTTTTTTGCACTGTGATGAAAATAGTCACCTATAAATAGTTATTTTAATGTTATTCTCGGTCTGTTTAATTTTCCCCATGCTGCCAGGATACCTCATCAAGAATTGTTGATCCCTTCACTTACAGAATCAAGTATAAACTTTTTTTTACTGTCATTCACATGCAGAACAAAATTTTGTCTATAAAGCCTCACTTAACCTCATTTATACTTTAGGAATAATTTCCTGGTGACCAATGTATTGCCTGCAAGTGTGCTGAACAAGACAGCTACCCACTCCTTTCAAACAGTATAGGTAGTTTTAATGAGTGATATCATTCCTACAGACATGAGTAAATGAGCAATACCATTTTACTGTTGGCATTATGTTGGCATTCCAGATATTGGTAAAGATTGCAATAACACTTTTTAAATTACCTTAGAAATGTATGATTTAATGGTATTACCTGTATGTGGGCATTATATTCAAATGCAGACATTATTTTTACATTCTGTTGCCTCTTTCAGTAAGCTGTACTGCAGATAATTCCTTTAACTACCCACAAGCAGTCTGTTTCCATTTTTATCAATTTTGTCACACCTACTGTGTGTGAAAAAAATTATATTATTGCTTTTGTACTAACAAATCGAGCGCTGTGTAAAATATGGCAAGATACAGAATACTGTGTGCCACCCACACCTTTTCATTACCCAAAGCACTATTATAGAGTTATGAAGGATTAAATAAAAAATAAAAATGGTGTATATTTACAATGTTAATTGTTGTTTCTCTCAGAAGCAATCGGTATACAAAATTTCTGTTTTATTACAAGCGTATGTGCCAGCTTTTCTTCCCTTGTTTCAAGTAAATGGTGCGCTAATATTATGTCAAACAAATATTGCTTGGTTGTGAAAGAGTTAACCTGAGACTAAGGGGTGTCCGCATGAGGAGCAGGGCTGACGCGGGCTATCAGTTAGCAGAAAGTTTGATTCTTACCCTGGGACGGGGCTATGGCAGTCCTGGCATTGTAAGTGCTTGGTGTGTTCATTTACAGTAATGCTCTAAATACCATAACCACTAAAAAGTATGCCACGGGTGTGTGAAGTGTTTGGATGCAGAGTTTTCATTTTATTTTGTCCATTTTCAAGTTATCAAATTCAACAAAAAAAAATAAAATCACTGATTATTGATTTACCCCAATTAAAAGATGCATGCATTTAAGTATGCATTTTTTCATTGAGGGTATATCTAAAAACAGCTTACAAAAGCTGCAGATTTCGTGTCTGCAGCCTTTGCAAGCCCTCCTCTTCTAACCCCGTTCAGACATTCTGTGGCTGTCCAATCACAGACTTCCCAATGCAACTCAATGAGAAGTCTTTGCAAGGCAGGTGCTCTGGACAAGTGCTGCCTCTTGAGTTTATCTCCACTGAGCTAACCAAACCAGGAAGTAACAGAACCGGTTGTCTGATTGACAGCCAGGGGGTGTAACAAGGTTCATTTATAAAAGTATCGATTTCTATTGAAATCTGTACTTTTTGAAAAATGGAAAAAGAAAATGGAATCGCACTCTTCACACATGAAGCACTTGAGCAATCTAAACTGTCAGGAGTGTCCCTTCAATTAGGTTTTTCATATTTTTAAGAAATATGGATGGCAGTAATGGGCTGTTAGTGTGGGCTCTGAGCCATTGAGGCGAGGACAGCCACGTCAAGATTGGGGTGGTGTGCAAGAAGAGGTGAGTTTAAACACATTTTCACTGCAATGACAGCGGGGCCCAAAACCTAAATAGTGGGTTTAACATCATTGTGTCAGGCATACATGTTTGTGTTCCTGACACTATGATTCTTTAATGTGACTCTATACATTTTTTTTCCTTTGTAATTCTAATTTCTTTCAGTAGTTCATATTGTTTATGTTTGCAAAATCCAACAATTTGAGACAGCTCAGTAGATATAGTTACCTTCAACCTCCAAAGTCAATAAAAGGAGCTTCATGAAATTGGGTAATAACTTGACCCAACAATGTAGTAGCTTTAAATTAAAGGGACACTATAGTCACTTAAACAACTTTAGCTTAATGAAGCAGTTTTAGTGTATAGATCATGCCCCTCAGGTTTCACTGCTCAATTCACTGCCATTTAGGAGTTAAATCACCTTGTTTCTGTTTATGCAGCCCTAGCCACACCTCCCCTGACTCTGATTGACACAGCTTGCATGAACAAAAAACTGGTTTCACTTTCAATCAGATGTAATTTACCTTAAACAATTGTATCTCTTTCGCTGTAAATTAAACTTTAATCACATACAGGAGGCTCTTGCAGGGTCTAGCAAGCTATTAACATAGCGGGGGATAAGACCATCTAAATTACACAGAACTTGCAATAAAGGAGGGATAAACTTTAGATGACTCTTTGCAGGAAGTGTTTAGACTCATCTCTTTACAGGAAGTGTTTAGGAAGGCTGTGCAAGTCACATGCAGGGAGGTGTGACTAGGGTTCATAAACAAAGTGATTTAACTCCTAAATGGCAGAGAATTGAGTGAGACCGAGGGAGATGGTCTATACACCAAAACGGCTTCATTAAGCTAAAGTTGTTTTGGTGACTATAGTGTCGCTTTAATATATAATGCTAAATGTAGCTTTCCTGGTTCAATGTATATATATTTTGTTGCATGCTATATTTACATTGCGGTTAAAGTAATTTTAAAAAAAAGCTTGTGTATTTTTTGTAGTTTAAGGGGAAGAGAGATATAATCTGAAGCTCTCTTTACAACGCCACAATTTTCAGCTTCTCAACTGCTGTCAGAATAGTTTTATAAAGAGTCGCAATATATTTCTACACAAGTATAGACTTTCGTGGCATCTTGCGCAGATCTTATCACGCGTGCTGTCAGTTAATGCCATTGGGAGTCTGTTGTGTATTGCATTAGATGTCTGCTCACATTCAGCGTTACGAGTTATGGGCAATAAGAAATGGCGAAGAATTGCAAATGGCTGCTGACTAAAGCTCTGCTAATTGCCATATTTAGCCATAATCTGAGGCATACATTATACAGTATTCATCATATGTAACACAATACACAATATATTTACAAAAACATTTAGTAGTAATTCAGAAATGATAGTCCCTCTTCAATTACTGGACTAAAACAGATGTATTTTTTTTCCAACCATTATCTCTTGTGCTTAGAACTCCTCCCATACACAATATTGACTGAATGAACCTGTTATCTTTTAGTTGATCATTACTTTTTTATAGTTGTTGTTCTGTTATTATCCTGTCCTAAATCTTGTGCTTAGAGCTATCGATAAAACTAACTTTTTTTTTTTTTAAGTTTGTGTTTTTTTTAATATCTAGTTTTCCACCCTCCTTGTTTTGCGTCTAATCCATTAGTGAAGAATATGGACAACCCCTCTATTACAGGGGTCAGCAACCTACGGCACATCTGCCAAGCATAGCACTCAAGGAGCCTTTGTACAGCACTCAAGGCTGCTAGACCCAAACAGGCTCTGGCCTATCAAGAGTCCTGGTGGAAATTCAGTAATCACCACCTAATGCCAAAAGGTGGTGAGGGATAATTCTCAATTTACCATTCGAGCACTTGTGAACATGAATCCGTACTGGAGTAGAGCAGCCCCCACCAACTATCGCATATCCTGCCTTTGACCTGTACCTAGCCAACCTGGTCCCCACTGAAACCCAAGGAAGCCACACACTAGATAAATATACAAAAAATTCGAGAATAAGCCTCCCTATCATACACCAATTATACTGACCACCCACAAACAAACACACACAGTTTGCAATACCACAATACCACATGCAATACCACAAGCAACCCCACACATACAAACACCACCAAACACACTGTGACATATCATCCACACACGCAATTCCACAAGCAGCCCCCATACACAGCCTACATTCATAGGTATCATAGAAAATGCCACAAATTACTAATGAACATATACAATAGAATAGTCTGCATGCGCACAAATACAATGTTACAAAGCCGCCCATAAATAAGCAGAATACGGCAACATACACAGATACAAAATTTGGGTTGGCACATCAAGAGACTTCGAGATATTGTTTTAGCACAGTACTGCTAAAAGGCTGCCTAACCCTGCTCTAATATAACATTTCTCTGTGACTGATAGTTTTACTTAGTATGTTACAGCTTTCTCATTAATTGTATTGCAGTGTTCAGAATCTAAGTATAAATATTGCAAGCCTTGGTCAGTTTGTGTAACGTCCATTTTGTTTTTATTCTTTCAGATCCAACCTGCACTGACAGACATTACCTGGAATGCCGACTTGATATTATCTTAAATATGGGTAAGCAGTAAATACATTTATTTTGCTACAAATGTGCCAACTAAGCAATAAAACAGTGGCTTGACAAATTTATTTGGAACCTAGGAGCCAGCTAAAAAGTTAGGATCCATTTTTAAAAAAACAGTAAAGTTTATTTTTCAAAGAAAAAAAAATGCAATTCTTAAAGGGACACTTGAGCTTGATGTAGTTGTTCTGGTGTCTATAACCTGTCCCTGTAGGCTTTTCAGTGTAAACATTACCATTTCAGAGAAAAGGCAGTGATTAAATTGCTGCCTAGTAACACCTCTAATGACAGTCACTCAGACTGCCACTAGAGTCCTGTGACAGCGCTGCACAGTGTGCAGCACCCACGTTCAGTGTCTCCATGCTCTGGACATGGAGGCGCTGAATGTTAAAAATATACACAATATCCTCCCAATGCTTTCCTATGGGAATGCGATGGCTTAGCTGAGATCATTAAGATTGATGATCCCAGTCATGGAGACAGGACCAGCCGTGGTGAAAACGGCACGGCATGGGGAAAAAGTTGAGTAAAATCACCTTTCTCATGTGATTGGGGAGGTGGGGGGGGGGGGCAGGTACCTAAACACACACAAACACTCACAAACACTATCAAACACACACACATACACCCACAAACACTGACAGACACACATAAACTCACAAATTGACATGTTTATTTCAACTTATGTCCACCCATCCTCCCTATCATTAAGAAAGCTAACCTTTCCCTGGGGATTAGTGGAGCTACTCTCTAATCTTCCTGCAGCTCCCCTTGCACGCTCTCTTTGGTGATGCCGGGGCTGGGTTCCGGCTCCCGGGATCACTAAACAGCGAGAGCAGGAAGAAAGGAGCTGCAGAAACATTACTGCTCCCTTGCGTGCTACCTCAGCCGGCCACCTCCTTGCTGCCTCAGCTGGCCGCTCCCCACGGCCCATTAAAAGGTGATTTTATTCCCCCTTTTCCAGCATTGTGCTGATCTCATAACGCCTCACTCTGCCTCCATGGCTGAAATCACCAAATTTGACCATCTGGAATCCATAAGAAAGTATTGGAATGCTATTGTGCATGCACGGCAAAATTCTGAGCTGCACCAATCAGCATCTCCTCATAGAGATGCAGTGAATCAAAGCATCTTTGCAGAGCATGGAGACGCTGAACGACAGTGCTGCATACTGTGCAGCGCTGATCCAAGAAGCACCTCTAGTGGCTGTCTGAGTGACTGCCACTAGAGGTGTTACTAGGCAGCAATGTAAGCACTGCCTCTTCTCTGAAAATTGAGTGTTTACAATAAGAAGCCTGCAGGGACAGGCTATAGACAACAGAACAACTACATTAAGTTGCAGTCGTTCATGAGCACATATGATACATTGTCCTTGTTCTAAATAACATTTAGTTGTATAAATAGTTATTAGTAAGTCACATACAATTTTACAGCCGCTCCGGCCCACACCCCTCACGCACACCCCTAAAATGAAAGTGTCCCTCGTTTTTTCCATTTGATATGGTGGGAGGAATGTTGTTGTGCTCTGCAGAATTGCTCTGCTGTCCTACTCAGGGAGGCCCTGTATTACAGCATTTTATAGAATTTGCTGACACTTATCTTTATTTGTTTGGTAACCTTGACTGCACAATGATTTGGTGTTAATAGTTAACCAGGTGTGAGCTGTCAGCCAGAGCTGTGTCTTACTCCAGAGGCCTCTGTATTGGGGAGTTTAAGGACATGCAGTCAAATCTCGCAATGTACTTTGTGATGATCACACTGACATTTCTGGATACATGTTTTACAGAAAACAAATTAGTTTGGTGTGATTATGCACCTTATAGTAGCAATCACATCTGGCTATCGCAATTATTTTCATTGGCTGAGAAATTAAATAATAAAAATATCTAGGTAATGCATTAAAAAATAAATTAGAAATAAATGTAAACAAAAAAGATACCTTAAAAGTTCCAGGATTTGCATGATATTGTCCACTGCCCAGTGTTTGCAGTGATTTCTGTCGAGACCAGGAAGTAGCTCAGCCAATCGTTCTATTAAGTGGACAGTGGCGTTACCCCATAAGCCCATGCATGTCTCTGTATACGGTAATACAATCGTTGTGTTTGGAAATGCACAACTAGTTTCTCGAAAGGACAGGGCTCTGAGAGTTAATTAATTATAGGAATTGGCAAATTCCCAGAAAAACATTAAAACCTCATCCAGAGAAAAACAGTTTCTGGAAATGGTTAAGGCCTGTTGGACATCTCTGTTCTAAAGCAAATTTTAATAGTTTTTGTTTTTATTATTATTAGAATTTGAGCATAGCCAGAAATAGAGATTTTACTTTGAATATATGGTGAAATAAAATCCGCTTAATGGTCACCAAAATATTGTATATTTAGAAAGCCCATTATATTCCACCATTTTAATCCCTTAATAGACTATACAATGATAAAATAATAACCGAGTCCCATTTAAATCAGACTTTTTTTGTACATGTACAAGGTTGTCTGTGACCTGTCAGAATTTCACCAAAGCCTCTCATATTTTAAGGCCACATTTCTAGCCTGCTATATTTATGGTAGAATTTATTTGGGGCAAAGGCTCAAGGCGTGATGGCAGCAAAGCGGCCCAGGAAGGTCTGATCATTATGTGAAATACTAACTTTTCATCGATGTATATACTTTAAAGACACAACGTTTGTGCAGTTATAGCTGTGAGTTTTGTGGGGTAATTCTCAACCAGCTTTGGACATCTGGATCCTGCCATCTTGGACCATTTTTCTTTGTAAATTCTCTTGTATTACAAAGAAATCTTTTCATAAACAGGGCTATACATAGGACACGAGGTCACACATTTAGGCTGGAAGAAAGGAGATTTAATCTAAGGCAAAGAAAAGGTTTTTTTTACAGTAAGAGTAATAAGGATATGGAATTACCTGCCCGAAGAGGTGGTTTTATCAGAGTCCATACAGATGTTTAAAGGACCACTCTAGGCACCCAGACCACTTCAGCTTAATGAAGTGGTCTGGGTGCCAGGCCCAGCTAGGGTTAACCCTTTTTTAAATAAACATAGCAGTTTCAGAGAAACTGCTATGTTTATGTTAGGGTTAATCCAGCCTAAAATTCCGCTAGTGGCTGTCTCATTGAAAGCCGCTAGAGGCGCTTGCGTGATTCTCACTGTGCAAATCACAGTGAGAACACGCAAGCGTCCATAGGAAAGCATTATGAATGCTTTCCTATGAGACCGGCTGAATGCGCGCGCAGCTCTTGCCGCGCGTGCACATTCAGTCTAAAGGGAGGAGAGGAGGCGGAGAGGAGGAGGAGAGCTCCCCGCCTGGCGCTGGAAAAAAGGTACGTTTTAACCCCTTCCTCTCCCCAGAGCCGGGCGGGAGGGGGACCCTGAGGGTGGGGGCATCCTCAGGGCACTATAGTGCCAGGAAAACGAGTATGTTTTCCTGGCACTATAGTGGTCCTTTAAACTGAAATTGGATAAATACAAAAACATAACATACAGGGATATCATTTCTAATTAGTGGGGTAATAGCTGCTTGATCCAAGGAGATATCTGACTGCCATTTTGGGGTCAAGAAATACTTTTTTCCTAGTTTGTTGCAAAATTGGAAGCGCTTCAGACTGGATTTTGTGCCTTCTTTTGGATCAAAAACAAAAACATATGTGAGGAAGGCTGAACTTGATGGACGCAAGTCTCTTTTCAGCTATGTAACTATGTAACAAATGGTTACAAATAGTGAACAGCAGTTTTCAAGGTTTATACATACTCCCGATGGATGGCTCTAACTGGGCCATTCTAATACAGTCATATTTTTGGATTTAAACCACTCTGGTATAGCTTTGACTGTGTGGTTAATTTTAATATGGATTTTAGTTGCAAGTTGTTTTGTAACACTGCACAGTTAGTTCATTAATGACGTATGTTCAAATTTGTCTAAAAATTTTATTACATATTAAAGTCAAATTGATATTTCAACCAATGTCTAAAAATCAACCCCCTTTTCCACGTGTAATCAATAGTTTTTGTATTTTTTTTTGTGTATGTATATTTTATTTATAGTGCATAGATATATATAGAATATGTTAGATTTAAAGTGTATACACGCACATGCGCACACACTCACACTATATAGTACATAGTTACATAGTTACATAGCTGAAAAGAAACTTGCATCCATCAAGTTCAGCCTTCCTCACATATGTTTTTGCTGTTGATCCAAAAGAAGGCAAAAAAACCCAGTCTGAAGTATATAGCATAGTATATATTCAGCTGTCAGTAACAGGTATGCCAAGTTCCGCTCTGCAGGTGGAGTGATCCGAGCTAACTATCCTATGCCTCCCGTCCGTGATGACGCCTTTGAAAAGGAATGTTTCTTGCTATATAATGTTATATTACTTCCTGGTGGATGCAAATTACAATGACCTCTATTGCTGTGTGGGTGTCCCAATACTCCTACTTGAGGATACATCCTTTACAAAATGCATTATGTTTGCATTCCTAGCATTGCGTATTTACGAGATACAAAGCCCTATAACTTCCACCTACCAATGTCATTGTAACCTGCAGTGTCCCTTTAGGCGGGTTTGGCAGCTCCAGCATGTTACCTGGACAAATGCAACAATGGAACCTTGTTTCTCAGCAATTTTAAATAATCAGAGAAGGATGTTTTTGTTATAGAGGTATGCATGAGGTGTGACAAGAGGGCAGATCTGCTACAGAGCATTTCAGGTTATTAATCTTCAGTGGCCATTTAAAGTAGTTATGGTCCATGACTTCATTGGGTGCCCATTTTATACGTTTCTTTCAAATCCTTTTTGAGAGTTTTTTTGTGAAGTTTAAAAAAAATTAAAAATAAAATAGAAAACGTGTGTTCTGTCCCTTCGCCTTGTGTTTAGATAATACAGAAGTTAAGTTTAATTTCCATGTTATCCACCTACGCTTGGATGGCGGTGATGGGCTGCATTCGAGTGCCAGGAGAGCCCCTATATTGTGTCTGCAGTTTGAAAACCCACGGCATCCTTGCATCCTATGTACTACCATAAACTGTAGTGGTTATGGTGCTCAGAGTGACCTTTAAAGCTGTTTTTCCTGCCGAAGATTGAAATCCGCAAAATGTTTTCAAGTTAGAGCAACCCAGAAGACATCTGCCAACTCTCTGCTGCTAGCCTGACCCTGCTGAAACATTGTGTCTGTGAGACATGCTTCCGAATTCTGCATCACGGGGCATGGTGACATAGTGTCACGGTGACAATTGTACAGGAAGTCAAGTGAGACCACTTCCCCACAGAGAACGCAGAAAGAATTGGTGACTGTATGAATCAGTGTGTGCAGAGATTAAAATCCTGAGAGATATCAAAGTTAATGGCTAGATTTTTGTTTGTGTTTCTAAATTGCAGAATGTTTTCTACGCATTCACAGGATCTGAGGCTGCCATAGACATCCTGGCCCATTATAATCAGTGTGGTGCCTCTAGGATTATTTTAATAAAATCAGTCTTATTAAGCGGTTTTAGAGTGTCCCTAAAGTACTTACTGTCACCAGAAATTTATAGCTGAAACAGTTCGTTAACTCCGAACAGTGCATTCCTATCAGACAGGTAAACGCACATTTACCATAATTCCCTTTCAGGACAGGAAATGTATTTACTGCCCTAGAGTCTTATTAAAAACGTATGTTTTGTTTGAATGTTGTTGGTATTACATGCAAGTCTTCCTGCTCCTTTTTTTGGTCTCTTTGTTACGGTCACTGTGTGTATTTGTGACATTTTTAAATATTGCCTTTTCCGGGTATTTTTGAATTGGCATAAAACATTTTTCCACCTCATTAACTATTCCTTTTAAGTTATTAGATTGAATATTTAAAGTTACTAACGTATAATGTAGAAAAATAAATAAAACTAGGGTGATTTGTTGGTTTACGTCTTCCTCGCTGCAAGTTACTGGAAAATATTTTTCAAAGAATCTAAAAATGAGGGGTTTTGTTTAGGAAGGGTAGTCGAAAACACGCCTCAAGTTTCAGAACCATCTCTAAATAAACATGCAATTTTTTTATTTCATGTAATGATCTCATACCTACTACAGCTTGTTGTAGTGGTTATAGTGCGAGGGGCCACTCCGTTATTTACTAAAGTAAGAATTCAAAGTGAAACTGAAGTGAATTTTAAATTTAAGGCCAAAGTAGTTGAATTGGAAGGAAAGCCAAATTAGAGAATTGTTTCAGTTCACCTATTTTACGGCAAAATTCAATTTGAAATAACATTTTAGAAAATAACCATGTTTGAGTGAAGTAAGTCTATTTTTTTTTTTTTTTTTTTACCCAAAACTGTTTCAATCAGGTTGACACAAAAAAACATCAAGCAAGGGCTCGGAAACATTGACAAAATCCAGAAAACTAAACGCAAGGACAGTAGTGGTTATGGTGACTCAAGTGTTCCTTTAAAAATAGCTGGTAACTTGTAGCAGTTACAAATTATCATGAGGTTTGCAAAATTGTTAAGCGCGCGCATGTTATCATCCTGCTGGTAAAGCACAGGAACACAGTCCCATGCATGCGCACTTCACTCTTTGTGGCAAGTAACAGGTAAGTCGAGCCTGACCAGTGTAACTTAGAATGAGATTTTTCTTTTGTTTCCGTACGATGTATTGTGAGTTAGCTGTTATTAACCACTTTCCACCAACCAAGAGTCTTGTGTTACATTTTTGGGGGCTAGCGGCCTTCATTAGTTAGAAGTGCCAGGGCTGTAAACCATTTGGAAAGTAGATGCTATGTCCACTATGTGAGACGATCAGCTAAGATAAAGAGGTTTGGAATTGACAGAGGTTGAGAGATTGTTGTTGAAGTCAGGGTTTTCTCCACAAGGGAATCATAAAAAAAATTTGGTGGAAAAATGTATCTTAATCCCCCTTTAGAATGTTTAATATTCTCTAGTAGATTAACATGTTTGTTTTTTTATAGCTGTTTTTAGTGTTTAACATTTTGTTTGCTTCCATAACTTTCCTTTTTTTTATTATTTCCACGAGATGTGTTTTGCGAAAGATTAATCGAACATTCCTGCAAGTATACAGCCTTGTTTGGCGTTCTTTGCTCTAGAAATCCAGTAATCCGCACACGTCATTCTCTTATCACCAGAGCAGAGGCTGCCTTTAACGTGCATGGTTTCAATAATGCTTGACAGGAACTTCCATTGTGTTCTCTGGAGACGGTGTTTATGTTATGCCATATTCTATATCTTTATTTAAGTACCTGCAGGTTCTATTCCTGCCCTGGAGTATTCAATACTTTATTGCGCAGATAGTTGAAAAACAAGAAAAGTTGGCCCCCATAGTAACAAGTGGCCACAGACTAATTATTCTAGGGAGTGAGGCTGGAGGTGTGAATGGGGGGCTTGATTATTCCCTTACATTTTAGGTGACTTTATGACCTACTCATTGCCATCGGTTTATTGACCTCTACTTGTAGAGTTTTGAGATTCAATCTGAAAGTCATGGCTCAGTTTCTTTCTTACTAAGTTTTTCACAAATGGAGAACTTACAACACTTAGTCATTTTTTGCTAAATTCACAAATTTGCCTCTGGCGTCTCTCCTCCAACACAAAAGCTAACACAAGAACCAAAAAATAGCATTAATTAATTATTTTTTATAACACATTATGATTATTCAAAGGGACATTTCCTCAAAATGAAAAGAGCTAGAGGGTGAGTTTGACAAGGTGAGGAGTGAGTGTGGTAGGGTGAGGGGGTAAGTGTAGTAGGGTGAAGGGTGTTAGTGTAGTATGGTGAGGGGGTCATTGCGGTAGGGTAAAAGAGGTAGGGGGTGGGGGTAAGTGTGGCAGGGTGACGGTGTGTTAGTGTAAGAGGGGAAGTGAAGCAGGGTAAGGGTTGTTAGTGTGGTAGAGTGAGGGGATGAGTGTGGCAGGGTAAGAGGGTGAATGTCACAAGGTGAATGTGGCAGGACGAGAGGGCATTGGACAGTGGACTGAGTGGTGAGTGTGATAGTGAGGGGAAGGGATTGTGACAGAGTGAGGTGAGTGTGATAGTAAGGGGGTGTAATTGTCACAGAGTGAGGTGAGTGTGATAGTAAGGGGGTGTAATTGTCACAGAGTGAGGTGAGTGTGATAGTGAGGGGAAGGGATTGTGACAGAGTGAGGTGAGTGTGATAGTAAGGGGGTGTAATTGTCACAGAGTGAGGTGAGTGTGATAGTAAGGGGGTGTAATTGTCACAGAGTGAGGTGAGTGTGATAGTGAGGGGGAGATATTGTGACAGAGTGAGGTGAGTGTGATAGTAAGGGGTAGAAATTGTGACAGAGTGAGGTGAGTGTGATAGTAAGGGGTAGAAATTGTGACAGAGTGAGGTGAGTGTGATAGTAAGGGGGAGAAATTGTGAAAGGGAGATAGGTGGTAAGGGTTACAAGTTGAGTCAATGACTGTGGCTGGACAAAGTGTGACAATGTATGGGGCTTAGTGTGCATGGGGGAGAGACATTATATGGGGAGACTGTATTAAAACACACAGTAATTGCCTTTTTTAATATAACATTTCCCCCTTCCTGCTTAATTCTTGGGGAGGAAGGGGGGCACAGATACATTCCCTGGGCCGCAGGTCTTCCGATTCCAGCACCCTCTGAGGAGCCCTGAAATCGCAAGGAGCCACAGACCACCAGGGAGGGACTATTTTGGTCTGCCTACCAGCAGGAGCAGAGCCCGCTCAGTCCTGGAGCTCCATCCAGCTCTGATGTGTCACCATGCCTGCCATACCCTCGGTGCTGTAGTGGGTCATAAAGGGACTGAGTTTGGGTGGCCGAGAAAGTGGAGACATAAATGGAACGACATGATGTTCCCTCTTACTTTTGTAGTTGGTGATCCCAGAAATAGTTTGTTGTGAAAATTAGTTTTATGGTAGAAAGGTTTGTGCGTGCCGAATGCCTGTGAAAATGTAAACCTGAAATAGTGTAAAGATAATTTTCTCTCGGCTAATAAAACTGTATTGCTGTGTTTTACTATAGTACAAATATGATGATATCGTTACGTATTTAGTTAATATTATTCTAAACTTTGAAGTTTTAAATGCTTTGTTCAGTTGTTCTATTAAATAAAACATCAATGAGAATATTGAGATACAGTAATAATAATGATACCCATCAGATGGTATCAAAACACAGGTTTTTAGTTTTTTTAATTAATGTTGCTGTAAATAAGTAGCTTTCGATTTTTATTAGCGTATCCAAGTGACATTCACCCAATTTCTCTTGGTTTCAAAATATCAAAAGATTTCACATAAAACTGCACAGCATATCAACAATACATTAACATACCTTTTTAATCCATGCCACATTGCCTACGCATGCCACATTACCTACGTTTAATTGTGCCCACATGATCATCCATGCCACATTGCCCACATTCATTTCACTTCACAAGCACTACCTTGGCTATGCACGCTGCGCTTACTCGGGCTGGCGCTGATTAATTTGCTCTGTGCTTCCCTACTTGTGACGTGCTGCTCTGTGATTCTCAGACGCGCTGCCGCAAGGTATATTGACATCTTGCTGGAAAGCAGGCACGATTCACGGAGCTACGTAGTACACATAAGGGAGCAGAGGCCATGCTCCTGGCTCATGTGAGGCCAACAGCCAGTGTGCGCACATCATTTTGTAATGTTAAATAGAATTTTTAGTTTCCTTTGATGATATATACAATTTACTGTGTTGTAACATATTGGTTCATAAAAGGATGTCTGTCATGAGTTTTGGAGGATTTCCACCAATTTGTAGGTGGTGGGACATTTCTTCATTAACCTAACAAAATCAGTCGCTTTACACCTGGACCCCTCACTTATTATTTGTCTTGCTAATTACGGTTGAATTACCTAATGCCTATTAATAGCGTGATTTCTTCTTTGATGATACCACTGGTATCTTCAAATGGGAAATCACGCTTTTAGTAGGCATTATGTATATGCCTAATAAATGGAATCATACCGGTACAATGTTAACGGGCGACTAGATAGCCTCGCTCCTCCATTCCTACCCACCTCGTCTCCTGATGTGTGGGTCACAGATGGTTGCGTTGTGTAATTTTAAAATTCCACCTTATGCCTAAAGTAATTTGTATCAATGATCAGTATCACACACATCACGGAGACAAGATACGTAGGGAAGGAGGAACAAATCTATCTTGGCCCCCGTTAAGGAACCGAGGCCACGGGTTAGGGAGCACAACACTTGTCTTGCCCTGGGAGCTGGCAACTCGCTCTATGTCTTGACTCACCAATAATATGGAGCTCATAGAAAAGAGAGACATTAGGATAGAAAAGAGAGACAGAGGGATCTGAGCCCAAAATAGGGACTGTCCCTCTTTAATAGGGACACTGGGGAGGTTTGGACATTCTTCTATAAAACTCTCACCTCCCTTTATTATTGTAGGATCACCACTCATTCTGTTTTCTATACTCACTTGCTCTCACTGACCAGCTTTATTGTGTCTTTATTAAATATTTTACACCAATGAACCACAAAGCTCCTCGACAGAGCTCTTAATTAGATCATTTCCAATGACTTCATACACAGCTTCCAGTGGGACCTTTCATGTTCCTTCTTTATTTATTTATTTAACCATTCTTGTGGCGAACGTGACTTTGCCACGGGCTCCTGGAGGGCCTGCTTGGCAGCCTCCTGCCCACAGACTATGGGCCCTGCAGGGAAACCTGTAAAAGACAGTTTAAAAGGCTTGGTTCATGTAAATTCCCTATGCTGTTCGGGAACCGAACAACCGCACGAACAGAGACCAACTGTGTGCTTGTTAGGCCCAATTGACACCTGTTAATGATTTCCACTGCAGTGTTCTAATTGTTCGTCTGGGTGGCCGCAGTTTGTATGAACGAGCACGAGGTGGCGGCCATCTTGTTCACGCGAACTTTGGGCGTCGTGCTCATGGAGCTAAAATCTGACACAAACTCCCGAACACCGCTGGACTTCCATCATTGCCTCTGTTTGTTTCTATACAACCTGGAGGGGCACTGTTCGGTGTATTCGTTCGCATGGATGAGGTGAACAAGCTACACATTCTAATTATGGATTATGCTCGGGATTTTATTCTTTTTCATGTTACTGAAGTTGACCGACCGCTAGCACTGATTTCATGGAACTATTTTGGGCATAAACTACATGTGCGGTCGGTCAAAAACAGGACTTTTATGAAAAACCTGAACCCCTGATCTGATCTGGGTGATTTTTGGATATGTTGGTCACCAAGATCAGGGGATGTGACTTTTGTGGGGTTTTCGTGTAATTTATGTGTATATTGGGGTGTTTTATAAAGTGTTATATTCTCTGTCCCTGAGAAATAATTAAATTATAAGTGTTTGCTCAGGAAATTATCTCTCAGGCACAGATGATCGTGGGAGGGATTTCCCTGTAATGTTGAATTGGAAACCGCTTATAGGGGCTTTTGCATAAAAGGCCATGTGTGGCTCTAATAAAACCGATTACTTCCCAGCATTAAGCCTCGGCTCATGTGTGGGGGGAACAGCTATACTTGCCCTTTTACTGCAATAACCAGGAGAGGTCTTCCCAGTGGGAGCTGGATCCAGGTGTTGGCACAGGGTGGGAAGGGACAGCGAGACCCCAGCCAAGCTGCGGCAGCTAAGGGGGGCTACAGTGCTTAAGATGTCCGGTGCAGTGCTTATGGTACTTGGCAACTACTAGGAAGAGCGATTGGCGGAGGTACCCAGTCGGAGTACCAGGCGGTCCACCGCAATTCTTATATAGCTTCCCTGTCAAGAGCACTTTAAATAGATTAACAAATGATACGGGTAACAATACAATTTCTATCCAGTCACTGAGTTGCAGTCTAGTTAGGTATAATGCTTAGAGGATACATCGTGTTAGCCTAAAGAACAATTACAGTAAATTATTGAATTCGTAAACACAGGCGGCTACGTAGAACAAATTATAGAACAATGATTCCACTGAGCTACGGTATGTATTGTCCTCAGTAAAACTGATCGGGTTATGGTTAGGGAAGGTAAGGACCAGGATGAAAGATGCACAGGTAGAGAGAGGAGTGTTGGGAAGGGATTAGCTTAGGTGAACAGAGGAATGAATTATTTCGTATCTGAGAATGTTTTGGTAAAGATATATGTTTTCAGGAGTTTTTGTGGAGAAATAGGTGGCTGACTGGCTGTGAGGGGGGAGCTTGTTCCATTATAAGAGGGCTATAAGTGAGAATTGAAAAGTACCACGTGGGTATTGATGGTGATTTTAAGGAATGTGGTAGATTCTGAAGACCCACCACTGCGGTTCCACAATGGGATTGTCACTCCAAGCGTGACCTAATCCATATATTTTTTACAGTGTCTCTGACTATTTTTTATATAGAATATATGTGTGATTATTTATAGGCACTATATGTATATCTAGTTTGGCGAGCCCCTTCCTCCTCCACTGTAAGTGTATTTATAGAACAGGTTGTGACATCAGCAATGTAATGGGCTTTGTAACTTCCTAGAATAGATTGTAAGCAAATAAATACATTTTAATTAAAATAGATATATTTTATTTTTATTTGAATTTCCATATTCCCTTTAAATCTACATGTACAATCTTTGTACTAATAAAATATTTTGGATACAGATCATGTAAATGCTGAACGGAAGAAGAATTACTTTGTAAACTTTGTAAACACATTGTAAGGATTGACCTGATTCCTGATCAATATGTTTGGACAGTTACGTTACAGCCTAAGGAAAATATATCTATTGATTACAATTGCATCAAATAAAATTGATATTTATGCATGAATCCAGTTATCAGTACAGAGAGGCGAATGTTGGGATTATGAACAGAATATAGTTACATAGTTACATAGTTACATAGCTGAAAAGAGACTTGCGTCCATCAAGTTCAGCCTTCCTCACATTTGTTTTTTGCTGTTGATCCAAAAGAAGGCAAAAAAAAAACAGTTTGAAGCACAATTTTGCAACAAGCTAGGAAAAAAATTCCTTCTTGACCCCAGAATGGCAGTCAGATTTATCCTTGGATCAAGCAGTTGTTACCCTACATTGAAAGATTATATCCTTGAATATTCTGTTTTTGCAAGTATGCATCTAGTAGCTGTTTGAACATCTGTATGGACTCTGATAAAACCACTTCTTCAGGCAGAGAATTCCACATCCTGATTGTTCTTACAGTAAAAAAACCTTTCCTTTGCCTTAGACGAAATCTTCTTTCTTCCAGTCTAAGCGCATGGCCTCGTGTCCTATGTAAAGTCCGGTTTGTGAATAGATTTCCACACAATGGTTTGTATTGGCCCGAATATATTTGTATAATGTTATCATATCCCCTCTCAGGCGACGTTTTTCTAAACTAAATAGGTTTAAATTTGTTAACCTTTCTTCATAGCCGATATGTTCCATTCCTTTTATTAATTTTGTAGCCTTCCTCTGCACTTTTTCTAGTGCCGTAATATCCTTCTTTAGAACAGGTGCCCAAAATTGCACAGCATATTCAATATGGGGTCTTACCAGTGATTTATAAAGAGGCAAAATTATATTCTTGTCCCGAGAATGAATGCCCTTTTTCATGCATGACAATACCTTACTGGCCTTGGCCACTGCTGATGACATTGCACATTGTTGCATAGTTTGTTGTCTATAACAATTCCCAAGTCCTTTTCATGTGTTGTTATCCCTAATTCGCTTCCATTAAGGGTATACGTTGCTTGTGTATTCTTTACTGAAGTGCATAACTTTGCATTTTTCAACATTAAATTTCATCTGCCATTTGAGTGCCCAGTCCCCCAGTCTATCTAAATCCCTCTGCAGCAAAGTAATATCTTGCTCACATTGTATTGTTTTACAAAGTTTGGTGTCATCTGCAAACACTGAAACATGACTTTCAATGCGGTCTTCAAGATCATTTATAAACATGTTAAATAGAAGGGGTCCCAGAACAGACCCCTGAGGGACACCACTTGCCACCTCTGTCCAGCTTGAAAATTTACCATTAATGACAACTCTTTGTACTCTGTTTTTAAGCCAATGTTCTACCCAAGAACAAGCATTTTCATCTAGACCGATTTCCTTGAGTTTGAACACTAATCTATTGTGTGGAACTGTATCAAATGCCTTGGCAAAATCCAAAAAGATCACATCCACGGCAACACCCTGATCTATACTTCTACTTACTTCTTCGTAGAACGCAATCAAGTTAGTTTGACATGACCTGTGCTTCATAAAACCATGCTGATTTTTGCTGATAACCATGTTCTTCTCAAGGAATTCTTGAATATTATCCCTTAATAAACTTTCAAATATTTTACCAGCCACAGAAGTTAAGCTCACAGGTCTATAATTTCCAGGCAAGGATTTTGAACCCTTTTTGAATATAGGAACCACATCTGCCTTCCTCCAATCCTCCGGAACACTTCCTGAAAGAAAAGAATCTTGAAAGATTAAAAACAGAGGTTCACTTATTTCTGCACTTAGTTCCTTAAGTACACGTGGATGGATACCGTCAGGCCCTGGAGCTTTGTTTATATTAACTTTCTTTAGTTGCTGCAGCACCTTGTCTTGAGTTAACCAATTACAATTATTCTGCAAGTTTTTAGTAGCAATCATTTGCACATCTATTGCCATGGGTTCTTCCTTAATATATACGGAGGAGAAAAAGTTATTTAAAATTCCTGCCTTTTCCTGGTCTTCATTAATTAACACCCCTGTTTCAGTTTTTAGTGTACCTACACTTTCATTTTGTTTTTTTTTAGAATTTATGTACTTAAAAAATGCTTTGGGGTTGGTTTTGCTCTCTTCAGCTATCATTATTTCATTTTGAAGTTTAGCAAGTCTAGCAAGTCTAGTGAAATATATTGAAAGAGCTAGTAATATGTGTAAATATAATAATTTGAGTAATATAAAAGATGGGCCTTATTACTTAGCACAGAAGTTAGTTACCGACATGAAAATCTACACACACGTACAATTAGAAGGGAGCTCCTCCTGCCAATTCTAATGGCTGAATTTATGTCCCAGAATGGGAAGACCCACTCTTGTGGAATAAGGGCTTGCACAAACATATTCTGAATAACCAAAGGTAAACATATAGCCCCGGGAGATTCTAGCTAAGTTACCATTAGGAAACATCAGCTCTCTAGCGCCATCTAAGGACTTGTGTGCACTTATTATTTATGACGTGGGTCCCACATGAATACCTTTTCCTATAGCTAGTAGGGGCTAATTTCACTAATCCGAAATATGAATGTATCTTTCAGATGCTGAAGAAGCTCTTAATTTGATCATGAAAGATCTGGCTGCGTTGGGCAGATGTGGCGGTTTGCTGGACACCAGTCGTAAGAAGAATAACAAACAGGTAATTAACTTTATTATTTTTTTGCAGGGCGTAGCTCAGGAGAGCTGACAGAAGTTCCTGCTTAGCTTAGTCCGTGCTTAGGAACTTCTAGCTTTTCAGTGGTGGTAGTGTAGGCGGGGAACTGCGCCTGACGAAGCCGCTAAAGAAGTCAAAACGTTCAAAAATGATTTGACTGTTTACATTGTGGGGGTGCTAGGGCACTTGTGGCACCATAACCACTACAGCAAGCTGTGTTGCTTATGGTGAATACAATGCTGCTTTAACCGATTTCTGTTGCTAACGCAATCAAGTTAAAAATCACTAACAACTCATAACTGGGCTTAACTTTTATCCTTATAGTTAATCGCACAATCTCAAGATAAGTATGTCAGGGTTACAAGGTTAATTGGCAAATAAAATGGTGCATTTGCAGCCTTTGGAATTACATCATGATAAGGATGATAATATATGACATGTGGGAATAACATATTTAGTGCTAAATTGACGTGGAATCCGTGTGTTCCTTTAAGTGTATTCCAAATATATATTTTGGGTGTAGTGTAAATGTGTATTTGTTGTGTTAGCATCCTCTCTGTTTTTTAGTGTAACGTGGTTATTTGTACTTGTCTTAGTCGATCAAACAGAAATCATTTTCAAATATTGTGAGATCCATGCCGTGTTTGTTTTTGCCACGTGTTTTGTTAAGTTTGCTGTTTTGGGGTATTGATAACTTTTTTTTGTAAAGTATTGTCAATGGCTTGCAATCGCGTAAGCTTGACTGCATGACATAATATAGGACCCATTTTTCCCCTCACCAATAATGCCAGAAGTTTTTTTATGATGGTTTGATATGATCGCATGGATATCTTTAACGACTCGTCAGCAGCCATTACTGTGGAGATAATTATCCAACAATAGATTGTGTCAGATCACTCAAACATGGTTTGACAAAAGCCAGAGCAACTGTACCCAAAGACTCCCTGCACCATAACCACTAAAATAATCTGTACAATAAGTTGTACAATATTCTGCAGTGATGTTGGTGTTTTTAGACTGTCCCTTTAATTTCCAAGACACAGCAAGCGGAAAGTTAAAAATCCACATGAACAAAAAGCACGTTTCTCATGTTTTTTACATTTTTACTAGCATGAAGAAAGTCTTTGTGGTTTATTTCTGGGTTCTGTACATGTTTACACCAGTAAATATAGTGCCTGGAATGTCCCTGATATACTTTCAATCGTTCTCTTAAAAAAAAAAAAAAAACTACTAACAGAGATAGCAAACACAGGAAAGTGTCTTTGTCGTTTTTGTCTGGGGAGTAGAAGGAAAGTTTCTTTGTTTTGATTAAACGAAGAGCCGAGATGACCCCTGACACCTAACATTAACAAACATTTGCGTCTAGCAAGGTTTGGCGAATGCTGGGGACCTCAACAGGAAAAGGAAGGTCATCGGCAAACAGAACTGTGTAACGAGGGATGCGCAGTGTGCGTTCCAGTGCGTTCCTTGCCAGTGAGGGCAGCAGGGCCTGGGGATGGAAGCAGCTCCAAGGATAATGGAAAAATTACAGTATTTAACACTTTGAATGCTTCAAGGATTAACATTTCTCATGTATAATGATATCAAAGTATTTAGTCTGGAAGGCTGTATTTAGATTTTAGCAAGTACATCCAATATTATCATTGGCCAACTTTTCAATGCTCATTTTATTGACCCCAGAATATTAATATTTAAGGATAGAAAAACAAGTAGCAAGAGAGGTGAGAACGGACAACAGCTCAATTAGCCTGCCCTTCGGTGGGTCCCTGCTCTGATCTCAAGCTGGTTTTAGCTCATCTTGTGCCATTACAAAGGGAACATATCTCAAGCATATCAGACTGGTCCCACCCGTACGACTAGTCCAGATCCGAAATGCCAGCAAGTTCCCTTTGCATGAGAGATTTAAATTATTTTTTTTTTTTTTAACTTTTGAAATGCCATATACATCGTGCATGCACGCTTACGGGACTGCTAGAGAAAATTGCATATGGCTCATTGACTGGGCATGCGTGTGTGCCCAAGGCATCATGGGATGACAGTCGCCGCCAAGTGGAAGTGACGCAGAGGTATGTTTTTTTTTACTCACCTCAGTTGTGTTAGTCACCCCAGCAAACACTTTTTAATCTGGCCTGTTAGCTGAGGATCTTGGAGTTATAGTCCAAGAGATGGAGCGTTTGCTTGTTATAGCCAAGACCCTATAGTGAACCTAGTTTCTTTCATATCTCCTATTCTTGGGGCAGCCATTTTCATTTACATTGTCGTTCCACCCCATTAATGGATTGCACCCCATTTTTTGTTGTAAGCTGAATATAGTCTTTTCATTTCAAAAATAGGTGTAAAAACAAGGAAAGTGCTGCAGATTATATTGGCACTAATAATAAATATAGCAATAAATAACAGAGATAAGATCAGAATGGTGAATACTTTTACAGGATTGGCAACATTGGAATAAATCAAAGTTGTTGTTTTTCTCCTTTTTGCTAAAAAATTATTCTTGCATGCAATAAACTGATAATTAAACTCTCCAAAGTTAGTAAAGTGCAGTGCAAAATAAATCCTGAAAGTGAAGTAATATATGCTGAAAATGCCAAGATCCCTTTAAGGAGTGTCACTCAATAAAACTTTCTTGTGAACCGCCATCTATTATAGTGCAGAATGGGCCAGAGCAAAGGGATCATTTATTTTGTGGTAGAGACATTTATAAACAAAAAAATGTTTTGCCTATGTACATAATTTGTATTGTTTTACATAAATATATTATTTTTGGGACATGGTTTACATTTCATCTGTGCTAGCAGACTGAAGTATGCGTTTTAGCAGGGCCCTATTAAAACATCAGATTGGACCCAGATGGTTTTGTTCCCAATGTTTCACCGTTATGGAGAATCATTAAGGAGTGGATCTATAGCTGCACTCTTTCCTGAATTTCTGCAGTAAGTCCCAAGTTTGGACTTATTCTCCTTAGTATTCTGCTCACCAGTTAGTTTTATTTGTAAATGAAAACTGCAAACACCATATCCATTCAGCCAACGAGCATAGTCCTGCTTATTATCCCACCCAGTATAACTAACTGTAACCTAACCTACACAGTGCACTTAACGTGTGTGGGAGCCAGGAGTGTCCCTTTAATAATATAAACCCACCAGTGTAACTAACTGTAACCTAACCTACATAGTGCATCTAACGTGTGTGGGAGCCTGGAGTGTCCCTTTAATAATATAAACCCACCAGTGTAACTAACTGTAACCTAACCTACACAGTGCATCTAACGTGTGTGGGAGCCTGGAGTGTCCCTTTAATAATATAAACCCACCCAGTATAATTAACTGTAACCTAACCTACATAGTGCATCTAATGTGTGTGGGAGCCTGGAGTGTCCCTTTAATAATATAAACCCACCCAGTATAACTAACTGTAACCTAACCTACATAGTGCATCTAATGTGTGTGGGAGCCTGGAGTGTCCCTTTAATAATATAAACCCACCCAGTATAACTAACTGTAACCTAACCTACACAGTGCATCTAATGTGTGTGGGAGCCTGGAGTGTCCCTTTAATAATATAAACCCACCCAGTATAACTAACTGTAACCTAACCTACACAGTGCACCTAACGTGTGTGGGAGCCTGGAGTGTCCCTTTAATAATATAAACCCACCCAGTATAACTAACTGTAACCTAACCTACACAGTGCATCTAACGTGTGTGGGAGCCTGGAGTGTCCCTTTAATAATATAATCCCACCCAGTATAACTAACTGTAACCTAACCTACACAGTGCACCTAGCGTATGTGGGAGCCTGGAGTGTCCCTTTAATAATATAAACCCACCCAGTATAACTAACTGTAACATTACCTATACAGTGCACCTAACGTGTATGGGAGCCTGGAGTGTCCCTTTAATAATATAAACCCACCAGTGTAACTAACTGTAACCTAACCTACACAGTGCACCTAACGTGTGTGGGAGCCTGGAGTGTCCCTTTAATAATATAAACCCACCCAGTATAACTAACTGTAACCTAACCTACATAGTGCACCTAACGTGTGTGGGAGCCTGGATTGTCCCTTTAATAATATAAACCCACCCAGTATAACTAACTGTAACCTAACCTACATAGTGCATCTAACATGTGTGGGAGCCTGGAGTGTCCCTTTAATAATATAAACCCACCCAGTATAACTAACTGTAACCTAACCTACACAGTGCATCTAACGTGTGTGGGAGCCTGGAGTGTCCCTTTAATAATATAAACCCACCCAGTATAATTAACTGTAACCTAACCTACATAGTGCATCTAACGTGTGTGGGAGCCTGGAGTGTCCCTTTAATAATATAAACCCACCCAGTATAATTAACTGTAACCTAACCTACATAGTGCATCTAATGTGTGTGGGAGCCTGGAGTGTCCCTTTAATAATATAAACCCACCCAGTATAACTAACTGTAACCTAACCTACACAGTGCATCTAACGTGTGTGGGAGCCTGGAGTGTCCCTTTAATAATATAAACCCACCCAGTATAACTAACTGTAACCTAACCTACACAGTGCATCTAACGTGTGTGGGAGCCTGGAGTGTCCCTTTAATAATATAAACCCACCCAGTATAATTAACTGTAACCTAACCTACACAGTGCATCTAACGTGTGTGGGAGCCTGGAGTGTCCCTTTAATAATATAAACCCACCCAGTATAACTAACTGTAACCTAACCTACACAGTGCATCTAACGTGTGTGGGAGCCTGGAGTGTCCCTTTAATAATATAAACCCACCCAGTATAACTAACTGTAACCTAACCTACATAGTGCATCTAACGTGTGTGGGAGCCTGGAGTGTCCCTTTAATAATATAAACCCACCCAGTATAACTAACTGTAACCTAACCTACACAGTGCATCTAATGTGTGTGGGAGCCTGGAGTGTCCCTTTAATAATATAAACCCACCCAGTATAACTAACTGTAACCTAACCTACATAGTGCATCTAATGTGTGTGGGAGCCTGGAGTATCCCTTTAATAATATAAACCCACCCAGTATAACTAACTGTAACGTTACCTACACAGTGCACCTAGTAAGTTGCTAAGATACATCTATCATGTGGTCAAATGTTCTTGTAAGTTTAATATTAGATTGTAGATTTTCAGTGATCTGAAATGTTTCTTTATAACCATATAACTCCTTCAGCTTTCCCAGGGTATAGTAGACAATCAGGGGTACAATGTGTATTGTTAGCAACACAGGATGTTCGGAGATTTTTAAAAAGCAGACATGACAAATTGCTTCTTACAGGCTGGTGACGAAAGATATTGCCTCAATATAGTTACTGAGCTCACTGATTGCGGTTTGTGAAGCTAAATTTATAAATATTGTTGGGATCAGTAAAGATTTAAAAATAAACGTGTAATAATGGTATCTAAAGTTTGAAGGAAGTTGTACAGAAACTTACTTTATAAGAATATTTGTGTGTATGTGTGCTTGTTTTTAAATATATAATATACGCTAACTGATTCATTTAGTGCAAACTATTGTGTTTATCCAAATCAACAATGAATAAAAGCTATTTTTACCCAGTATAGCTATACTTATATTCTAAACCTCAGATGAACAATTAGAGGTTTTAAAAAATACAAGGATTGATTTTCAAAGATTTTATCCTGCACTGTTTCCTTAATAGGCTACTCCAGTCATTATAAGCACTATAGCCCGGCATACTTCCCAAGTGTCCCTATTTAGGAGTGACAGTCCCGGTGGAGGCTCATTCATAGGGGCACTTGGGGTAGAGCTCCATCAGTTTCTCTATGTGGTGAAATAAATGATTTGCACTAGTTTAGAAACAAGGAGAGGAGAGGGTGGTACTCTCAATAATTCTGTAATAGGCTTCAGTTCTTTTTTGAGCGTTTATTTGAGAGCACCTAGCCATGCCAGAAAATAGGGCAGGAATGAAATCTGCCCTGTGTCAGCAGGTTTTGCACATGCCTAGTGTCCTTTAAAAAGGAATTTCAATTGAATTGCCATTTTGGCAACAGAGCCAGCTGCCCATGAGTGGAGGCATGGTCTCTCTATTCAGGGGCCGTCATTGGCTGATATTACCAAGGAATGGGGTGGCAATGCCCGCAGTAGAGAGAAGCAAGAATCTATCTTGGAGCAACACAAGGAGAGACCACATGTAAATGTATATTATCTTTATCTCTCCCCCAATAGCCACAGTGGTGGCCTGAGGTCTGATTAAGCAATGGAATTTGAATAAAAATATCTAATTAACAAATTATTGTATATGTAAAGCCACGGGTCACAAGGGGAGGGGGACATTTCTGACACAGAGTACTGTGCTGTCTGCCACTAATAGTTTTTATAACTCCCAATACACAATTCCACCATCTTCTTCAAAGTGCTCACTCGCTGTAAAGCTGAGCCCTGAGACCTTCATGCTGTAGGACTGGGGCTGTGACCCTGAAGATTGATCTGATTCTGATTTAAATCTGTTTTAATATTTAATGATTGTTAATTCTGGTAACCATGTCAACTACTTCTTGGCTTACCAATGCAAAGCATGAGGAGTCCAGCATCTTAAAACTTCACCAGCGACCACTGGACAGTCCTTATTTAGGTCACAAATCCCTTTGTCCCTCTTTTCTATCCTAATATCCTTTTTTTCTATGAGCTCCATATTGTTAGAGTGTATAACAGAGCAACACAGTAATAATACTCCCAGTAATGTGTCTGAGTGTATAACAGAGCTCCACAGTAATAATACTCCCAGTAATGTGTCTGAGTGTATAACAGAGCTACACAGCAATAATACTCCCAGTAATGTGTCTGAGTGTATAACAGAGCTCCACAGCAATACAGAGCTCCACAGCAATAATACTCCCAGTAATGTGTCTGAGTGTATAACAGAGCTCCACAGCAATAATACTCCCAGTAATGTGTCTGAGTGTATAACAGAGCTCCACACTAAAAATACTCCCAGTAATGTATGTTTAAACTACATTAGAAGTGTTTAGAAATCAGACAGTAAATAAGAAACATTGTTCTTCTTCTAAATTACATTTTAGTTTAGTATAAATTGTTATTAAATCACCTAATATTTCTCAGAACAGCCACGCCTCTGGCCACATACCCAGCCAACTCATAAAATGTCAGTGATGAGAGCAATCTCGCCACATTGCATTGGAGAAGCCTGGTTGCTCGCCTTCTGCCTTTGGATTATGGGCCCATGTTAAAAGACTTTGTTTCCCCTGCAGAAAAGACTTACTCGTGCTTTTCTGCCCGGTGTTCGGTAGAATCAATCTACAACCGCACGAATGACTAGACCACCTGGGAGCTGGAGTGTGCCGGCAATTAGCCTCCCAGAAGCTGCGGTTAACCGCAGCTTAATTGACGAATACTGGGTGGCCGCCATTCGTATATCGAACACGAGGTCGCGGCCATTTTAAACATGCGAACGCACAGCAGTGTTCGACGCCTAACTCATGGAACTAAAAACGGACACAGTTTGGCGCGAACACCGCTGAAGCCGCCGACCTCCCTTCTTGTTCGGCGGGAGTGCACGAACGGCCCGGTGTTCGGTAGTTTTACCTAACTGTATTATACCCCAGATAGGAATCCCATGGAGCTCATTCGTATGAGAACTAACTTTGTAAAGACTTTGGCTCCATGGCGATTGAACTGTATTCGTGTGGTCTGAGCGCCATTCACTTAATAATGTGCGCTCAAACCTGAGCTATCTGGGGACATGTTAAATGTATAGTTTTATTGTAACTTGTGTCACATATTGTATTTTAACAGTAATTCATGTTTTAGTATCCCCACGTGCATAATGGCGATTTGCTTTTGTCCTGGGAGATAATTGAATTACTTCTCAACTATCTCCAAGGCAGAGGGGAGGAAGCCAGGATGCATTGTGGGAATACAATGTGTCTGTGTGTCCTAAATTGATACTTGTCTGTCTTTTGTCACAGTCTCCCATTTGGTCCCCTAGGGGAGTGTCCACCAGGTGGGAGACCTGCATAAATACTGGGCAGGTAGCCCCCATTAAACAGACCACTGCTTGACCCTCAACACGGAGCCTTGTCTCGTCTTTGGGGGGATTTACTGAATGCTGATGGAGACTGATTGCTAGGAGTGTAAGCCGCTTGGATGCTTTTCCTATTCGTCTGCTAGCAGCTATTCGTATGGTTCCAGTTCGTGTGTTTGGAGTGTTATATTGTAGCATTCCCTTATTTGCGGTTCGGGAGTTTGGTGTTCTACAGTACCTGTGCCTGCATCTCTGGAAGGGGCCGATCGCCTAAACGGTTTTTACCCCTTGTGTGCAAAACGGTCCGTTACAGTCACTCTTTTCATTTGAAATGTCGGGAGGTAGGACCATGTTCCCTGTTAATGCCCCGTTACCGGGGTCCCACAGTAAGCTCTGATAGTCCTTTGTGACCATTGCCATGCTTTGGCTGAGTCACCTGACTGCTTTAAACCAATCACTGACATTCTGTACAGTGCAATTTGCACAGAATTGACATTAGCCAGCCCTAAACTTGAGTTACAGGCTGGCTTATGACACATCAATGACACTGCCGAAGGTGGTATATGTGCAGCAAGTCATAGCGAAACACTGCACTTACACACTCCAGGCACCATACCCACTTCAAATCACTGGTGCTTGTAGTAATCCTTTAAGTAAAATATTAAAATTGTGTCAATGTACATACATTGCATTGTTTGTGGAATAGCAGTCTGTACACATTTTTTTTTTTTGTCATGTTCCATGTTGATGTGCTAACTTTGCTCACAAATAAATGTTTCACTGTTTGATTTAAGAGCAAAGAACTTGTTTAATTAATTTAGATTAATGAAACACTCTAAGCACCATAACTACCGTGGTGAGCTGCCATGCACTACCTCACCCCCCATCATCGTAAGTAGTTAAACCATTCTAAATAAATACCTCCACTTACCTGTAACAGTGTTTTCCTTTATCGCAGGTCAACTTGGTTATTTTAATTGGAATTTTGCAATTTGGTTAGCAGCTCACTAATTAATACATAAACCCCTTTGGTTTTATATTTTATAAATAAAGTTTACAATCCGTTTTGGCAGGTCAGCCTTTATTTGGAGACTCACGGCGCTCACAGTAGGTCTGCAATCCGCGCACGTTGTTACATGTTTGCTCAATGTTTTGCGTGGGCTGCCGGTTGCTTAGCAACTAATACTGGGCCTACCATTCGATAGTGTATGGGGTCACCCTCGCTGGAGATCCTCAGATTTCATGGGAAATGCCAGAATTCAATCCAGATGCGGGGATAAGACGTAGGCAAGCCCTCCAGATGCATTCACTTAACACCTGTTTTTCTAAACAATGTGCCTCGCTCTGTGCCTCTCCACTGAAAATACCGATTTACTTATATCAAAGGCGCCTGCAGCGCGGATTGGGAAGCTTTGATACTTGTGCTGCGCAGCGCTTAGCGAAAATCCCAGCAGCCTTAGCCAGCAGCATGTGAAAGAATGATGGAATTTATTCTCCAAACATCAATTGTGCTTTTAATTCTTGTATTATTAAAGGCTGATCTGCTTTTGCATAAGTGAAAAGGTCTGCTTTAAATTATTTTATTTATATTTAATGTATTTATTAACTCCTCTCTTGATTCTCTACAATTTCCAGTGTATAGAATAAGTATATATATTTTAGTTTTTTTCCTTAAAGTGCTCTTTATTCCATAAATCCCTAGACTTTGGTGCTTTATGGGTCCAGCATGGGTTTCTGGGTGTTGTAGTTCATTAGTTCTTGTGTGGGAAAACTAAACGATAAAATACAACCCCCAGAATGCTTTGTTACACAGCTCGGTAAGCTATGTGATTTGGGAGACACTGTCCAACGAGATGGACGGTCAGAAAGTGAATTATGAATCAAAATCATATATTCTTAAAAATAAATATATATAAGCACATAATTTGTAACCCTTTTAAATGGTCCCTTCTACCCCCAGCGCAGAATTTTGAGATAATTATTAAACATTTATTGCTTGTGCTGAAAGTAACTCTGTTAGCAATTAACTGCCATGTTCCAAACTAAACCACCTCAAAGGCAGGAAGTTAATTTGCATAAAATGCTGTCTGATGTAACCATCTTTGAATATCTCGTAAACTAGAAAAACTGATGTTCTTCAGATTTAATTTGAACACATTTTGATA